AGCCCATACTGACATTTTTAAAGTGGTATTATAACATGCTTAACATATTTAATATTTTTTAAAACTTATCATTTTGAGCTAACTTCAAAGCTTCAGAGAGGTTGCAAGATTATTTAAAGAATTCCCGTAAGCCCTTTATCACCTCCTTTCTCTCTTCCTCCCCCATCCCTCTGATGGTGAGGTGCAGACACAATGTCTTTTCTAAATATTTTAGTGTGTATTGTGTAAACACAAGGACATTCTTTTACACGGTCTTAGTGTGGTGATCCAGGCCAGGATGGCAATACTGATATTTAACAGCTGTCACTTGGATATCACCATGTGTCTCCATGGTATACTTCCAGCCAAAGGAAACCTTGCAGTTTCTTAGACAATGATGAACCTTGAGGTGGCTTCCTGTCTTGTAATGAATTATCAGTTCTCTTTGGCTTTGATCAAACTGGAACATGTATTTACAGTTTCTCTGTATGTCATGACACCACGTTGTTTTGTTTTATTTTTTAACTGTACAGGTCAGTTTTGTGAAATACTCCTTAATTTGCGCTCACCTGATGTTTCCTCCAGCTTAGTCTCAGGTTGTGTATTTCTGGCAAGAAGAGCACAGAAGGGTTACCATGTCCTTGGTGCACCCTTTGGGGGCACACGTGGTTGCTTCTGTGTGGGTGATGTTAACTTTGTTCACATGATTAAGGTACTATCTGCTTTAAGGTGAAAGTTATATATTCACATCTTAAGTGAACAGTTGGATGAGTTTTGACAAATATGTACTTTCATGTAACCAACAGCCAAATTGGGATCTTTGTGTATTGTTGCAGTTGCTCTTCACTAAAATATGATTTGTGCTGGGCATGGTGGTGCACGCCTACAATCCCAAGCACTCTGGAGGACGAGGCAGGGGGATCAAAATTTTGAGGCCAGCCTGAGCAACATAGTGAGGTCCTGTCTCAAAATAAAATAGATAGAAAGGACTGGAAATGTAGCTCAGTGGCTCAATCCCTAGCAACACCAATATATATATATATATATACATACATATAATATATACATATATATACACACACATATTTATATATGCATGTATATATACACATGTTGTATGATATTCATGATTTGTACATCTTCCTTATGAGTTGATAATTATTATTGCCAGGTGTTATAGGGAAAGGTGTCAGAATTTACTTTGGCTTTGAAGCACATGGGCTTTGGAGCACATGGGCTTTGTGCACATTTGTGATCAGTGTCTGGTTCAACATTTGTTTACTCTGTCAAATTCCCTGTTTACAAAAGTACAATAATAATGGCACTTGTTTACTGTTACCTTTAACTAAGCCTTAATTTTTTCGTCTTTACTGGCTTTGGCATGTGTGAGATGCCGGGGATCAAACAGAGGGCCTTGCCCATGCTAGGCAAATGCTGTGCCCCTGAGCCTTAATATTTTTATCTTACAATGGAAATGTCACCTAGAACAAAACACTGTCTCAAAGAATTGGTCTCCAAAATACCTAAGAGCTCATACAAATCAATGAAATAGAATTTCAAAAAGAGGACCAAGCCACAGAAACAGTGGCAGGGGACATAAAGACGTCACTCACAGAAGACGCGAACAGCCTTTGGTAGAGTTAATAAACATGAGGAAAGACGTCCAGTGGGTCGAAGCGCAGATCGGGGCATCAGCCAGATGTAAGTTCTAAGCTGTCAGATTGGCGGAGGTTCCGGTGGCTCCTGACGCCCATGCTGGCGAGGCTTAGGGAAGCAGGCTGCTGGTGGGAGTGGACGTTGGCGAGCGGACATTGGAGTGTGGTCAGAGGGGTCGGCCTTACTTCTTAAAATTGAAGCTGTCATATCCTTTATTTCATGTCCCACATATGCACCCGTGCATGGGCAGCGTAAATGTATCATGTGGCGTCATGTCAAAGAGGAGGCAGATCCCGTGACTCGGGAGGCCTCAGCCTCGGGAGGCCTCAGGAGGCAGGAGGATCTTGAGTTCAAAACCAGCCTCAGCAACTTAGCAAGGCCCAGTCTCAAAATAAAATATATCAAATGGGGTTGAGGGTGTGGCTCAGTGGTTAAGCTCCCCTGAGTTCAACCCCTGGTACAAAAAAAGAAAAAGAAGGAGGCACCCCAGGTGTCCAGGGAGGGAGTTAGTGGAATGCTGTGCATCCAGCACGGGTGGAGGAGGGTGTGACCGTGGTCAGTGTTCCTAATGACTGCAAAGTGGGGACAGTGGATTTGACAAGTGTGGAGGTGCTTGGGTCCCTTCCAATGAGAAAACCAGCTGTCTGGCTCCATAGCTGCAGTTCACTGATGACCACAGCTAATGGCCACGGCTAGGTGGGGCTGTGTGTTTTAGGTGGAACAAGAGACGTTTCTAGCAGCTAAGCGTCCTCAGAGCACGCTGCTCTCAGAGGTTTCAGGTGTTCTGTGCATGCCTAAGGGCCTCACTTGCCACAGTGAACACCTTGACAGGGTTGGGACACAGAGCAGTGAAGGATCCTTAACACAATATTGGGTGAGTTCTGTCTGTTAGAGCAGAAGGAAGGAGTGAGGGATGGAGAGGCTGTGCAGCTAGCCACCTTGAGTCACTGTGGTCAGGGCTGGAATTACTACTACAGTCACATCAACAGATAATTCCTGAAGTGTCCTAGCAGATGTGGTGACCGGCGACAGTAACTTGCACATGTCAACATAGGGATTAAAAAAACACCACTGGCAGCTTTAAAATGGAGCTCAGTGACCACAGGGACTTTGTTTTGTCCACAGCATCTTGTACAGTGCTTGGTATACAGTAGTTGCTTAATATATGGGAATTACTGAATGAATGATTAAATTTATTGAATCAGGATCCCAACAGAGAACAGAAGGCCACTCATGCAAGGATCACTTGAACCAGGTGGTGCCCAGCAACTCAGGAGGCTGAGGCAGGAAGATCACAAGTTAAGGCCAGCCTCAGCAAATTGAGACTCTGTCTCAAAATAAAAAGGGCTAGGAAGGTAGCTCAGTGGGAGAGGGCTCTGTGTTCAACCCCCAGTGCCACAAAGAAAAGGTAAGAGAACCTGAGGAGGGTGGACTTACAGAGGGACCCCGAGTTGTGTGGGCTGTAGAGAAGCCACAAGGAACAGTGCAGGGTCCCCAGCTGCTGGAGACTCCCAACCACACAGCGGGAGGAGACAGGAGGACCGAGGTTACTCCAACAGGGAGGGACCTGGGCTCTGCCTCCTTTAACCTCTGTGGAATCCGCCTGGGAGCAAAGCCAGGAGCCCCAAACAGTTTCGCCAGTCACCTGAGCATATCTCAAGGTCTCCGTCACAAAAGCCCACGGGACTCAGACTTTGCATACATGTATTGCCCCAGACTCCACGAAGAACCCTGTGAGGTGCGTCGTCCTATCTATTTTCTGGCTCAGGATCCTGCGATGGTCAGGTGCCTTGGCTCAGGATACGGGTGAGACACCGTAACCACTATTCTCAGAGCTGCCAGCCAGGTAGAAGTTTCAACATGGACCAGGTCACAGTGACTGTCCAGGTGTTGGTGTGACCTGCTGGCTGAGAGTCGTGCCTTTGAAGTCCTCATACGGACTGGATGGGAGGGTGAAAATTACTTCTCGGAGCCTCAGCTTCCTATCTGTGAAGTGGGGTGATTTCCACCTTTTGGAAACTTCTGTGAGGATTAAGTGAGATGATGGCCTCAGGATGTCGACACTTGGTAGGCTCTAGGGGAAGCGAGGTGCTGCCGGGAGACCGCAGCTCCCTGAAACTACGCAGGGGTTCAGCCTTGGAAACACTCAGGATGCTGTGTTTCCTCCTGGGTGTGGAGAGTTTGCTGTTGCCTCTGGTGCTGGGAATGCAACCCAGGGCCTCGTGCACACCAGGCAGATGCCCTACCCCTGAGCCCGCCTCCCCAGCCTGGTGGTTATTTTTAAACAAACTTTGTATTCATCAGTTTTTGATCACGTGCGCATTCATTTAATAGTCAGGAAAACAAGTTGTTGCCCTCCTTCCTTTCCTTGCTTCTATCATGGTCCTTTCCAGGTAGTCTCCTGCCTCCGTTTCCATGTTTTGAACCAAGCCTCCATGCTCTAAGTGGCCATGTGGCCAGTGCCTGTGACAGTGGAGGACCCTGGGCTCCATGTGGGATTTGGCGACCTGGGTCCTCTTTCCCTGGGGAGAGGACCTAAGGCAAAGCTTCGAACATTAGAAATTCCCAGTCAGTCCTGGATTGGCAATTGGATTCCAATTGGATTTCTCTTTATTCAGCCTCCTGCCGCTGGGCAATCATTGCTGTTAGTTATAGCAATAGTAATCCCCCAAATGGGGCATAATCCACATCTTATGGGTAGGAGAACCAAGGCTCAAAAGAAATTCACCCAGTTTGGCCCAAACCATACAGTTGGCACTTGGCAGAGCCAGGGCGAATTTGAGCCCTTTGCTTCTAAATCCTGTACTTCCCGAAGGTGTCTGTCTTGTGGAGGCCAGGTTTTAATTTTCTCATATAAAAGCAATAGCAGATGACGATAGGGAGACGTCAGGTAGGAAGAAGAGTTTCGCAGGTGCAGCCAGCGACCATAACCGTCTGTGTAAGTTCACTTCTTGGTTTTTTCCGCCTGACTTCATAATGCGTGCCTTGTTCCACGGTATTCAAAATTCTTTGTAAACCTTATTTTCAATGGCTGCCTAATAATCCCTCAGCTGGATATACCATTACGCCCTAAACAATTCCCTATTGTTGAGCCTTCTGCTTGTTTCCAGCTTTTCACTGTCAGCAACAATGCTGCAAAGAACATCTTTTTATTCAGAAAGCTTTTTCTGTTTGTCCTGTTTCCTTACGATGGTTTCCCAGAAGTGGAATTACTGGTTCAAAGGCTATTCACATTTTAAGTCCCTTCTCACGGATGCCAAGCTGCTCCCCCAAAGGCCGCCTGTGCCTGGCCCTGCCAGCCTCGGTCCTAGGTGTGTTCTGCCGGCGGCTCCTGCTCTCATGGGCTCTTTCTTCTCTCCCCACAGCCTCATAAAGAGAATGGCTCAGAGTGTAGTGGAGGTCATGGAGGACTCCAAGGGGAAAGTCCAGGAGAACCTGCTGGCCAACGGAGGTAGGTGCCCAGGGCTCTGGTTTCTCAGGAGCGCCTCCCTGCACTCTGGTCACGTCAACCTGTGGGAAATGCCCGATGCGCCCAGGCGGGCCTCCAGCGAGGGTTTAGTTGCTGAGCAATAAATAGGAAACAGAGAGCCACCCCCAGAATGCTTGGGTAGTGTATTCCTGCTTGGAGTTTTGGTCTCCCTGTGCTGACGGGATGTGTCTTTAGATTCCAGTGATGCTTGGGCATGTGTGCAATTTGAATGCTTTTAAAATGTTCAAGACAAAAATTTGGAGACTTTGGAAACTTTAGAATTAAATGTTTAAATATCCACAGAGATAATTAAACCTGTGACTGTGCATGTTCATTGAAAATGAGAGCAAACATTTAAATTTATATCATTTGTCATGCACAGAATATATATACACAAATGTATGTGTGTGTGTGTATATATATGTATATATTCATACTTCCTTCCTTCTAGAAACACTAAAAGGCTTTTAATTTGCTGGTTTGAACGGATAAGTAGAAATGTGCATTCTTGCAAGTCTGGCCTGGCTTCGTCTGTCTCCGTGGTCTAACAACCCCGCCTTGTTGTGTTGCAGGTGTGAAGGAGAACATGAAATGTCTCAAGAGTAGGTTGTGCTCTGTTTGCTGTGCCTGTGTTCAGAGTGATGCTGCATGTCCCTGGGGAGGTGGAATCTGTCTGGTTGTGGGGCACAGTGACCAGGTCATGGCAGTTTCTCCAGTAAGAGCCTGGTGGCTTGGTCACTGTATCCGTAGGACACAGCAGCTGTTGTGGGAGGGCAGGACTCACAGTAGCTTCTGAACCTTCTGATGCACATTAGCATATTAGAAGCTCTGAAGAGTCCTGCAGACCAGAGACCTTCTAAAACTGAGTTTGACTGGAGTTTTTGCAGTGCTAGCCAAATGCTTTTTCTCATTCTTCTGGCACCCCGCCCTCCCGGGGTAGCTCTGCCTGCTCCCTGGATGTTGGGCTCTTGCTCCTCTGCCTGTGGCCTGCTCTCTGAGGCCATCTGCTTAGTGGACACAGCACCTTAAATGCCAGGCTCTGCCAGGCAGCCTCGAGCTTCCCACACGCGAGCAGCCTCCCAGGGTGGCGCTCCCTCCTGTTGCCATTGCCAGAAGGAGCCATTTGCTTTGGGTTTGCTCCAGTGTGCTTCAACTGGTGGACTGAAAGAGCAAGTCATCTGGGGGCAACTAAAAACCTTTACAAATCGCAGGTGACCAATCGCCTTCCCCAATGCCTTCTGCTTGTCACACTGAGATTCTTGCTGACGGTAAGGTAGCAATGTCTTGTCAAGTCGACCAGCTGATCTTTTTTCCCAGCAGTCGATTCTAGGGCCCTGGACTGAAAAGCTGACCAGGTGGAGAGTCACTGTTCTGTCAAAAACCTGGCGTGTAGGGCGCGAGGGTTTAAACTTACGTTAGAGTGATTGAGATGCTCACGTTCTGGGGCCGGGGCTGGCTCCACGGCAGGCCACCGCCTCGCCTCGCATTGCCAGCTGTGCAGGAAGCAGTTACTCAAAGTTAATGCTGCTGGAAGGTAGGTGTCACCCCCGGTCCGATGGCACGAACTCTGAGGGGCAGCTGGCTTCTCCACAGGAGGAAACAGCTTTGTTTAAAATGTTCCATTTTAGGCCTCCTGCGACTTGGGCCCTGACGACTTCAGGATCAGAGTTTCCAAAGCATGCTCTGTAAACCGTCCCTGCCCCAAGACCCGGATGGGAGGCAGGACTCACAGTAGCTTCTGAACCTTCTGATGCACATTATCATATTAGAATCTCTGAAGAGTCCTGCAGGCCAGAGACCTTTTAAAAGCAAGTTTGACTGGAGTTTTTGCAGTGCTAGCCAAATGAAGAAATCTTCTCCTGCAAGGCATCCACAGATTAGTGATTGACAGAATCAACCAGAGAAGCTCTTTGCTGACCCCCTGGCCCCTGCCCCGCAAAGTGGGATTGTAATCCAGTTTCCTCTAGGGGAATTCATGGCCGGCCGATCCCATGAAGGGCCAGCAGCAGGTCAGACCAGCCCTGATACGCAGTGTTCATCTGGACCTTGGCTGGTCGTCTCTCTGGTCTTATTTTTCTCACCTGTAAATGCATTTAATAGCCATTGACAGGCCCTTAGCTCTGCCTGGGCACCTTTTGCTTTTGTTCGTTCCTTGCTTCCGCTGAGCTAAGCACGGCAGGACACAGATGTGCGTGAGTGCCGTGGAGAAGGAGCACGTTGTCTGGTCTGGGTCCTAAAATGTCTGCAGAGGATGGAAACACTGGGCGTGTCTGGCTAACCCATCAAGGGCACGGCCCCTGTGGTCACAGTCCTGTGTGCTGGCAAGGCCTGGTTTGGGTCTTCAGATGAGACCACTGCTGCTCACAACAGGCAGCCTGTGCACAGTGAGCCAGCCAGGTCACGGTCTGACCTAGCAGGCCGTCAGCCCAGGCTCTGCCTTGCCTGCTCCAGGGACCGGGCCTCACTGACTCCAGCGCAGGCAGAGGGTGGGGGGCCTTCCTTTCCTGAGCAGTGGAAAGAGAACCGCAGTCAGGAAGGCCGTGATGGCGGAGGGCCTTCTTCCAACAGCGTTCTCACCAGAAGCAGTGCACAGGGACAGGGAAGTACCCTTGGGTGTCTGGCCTGGGGCAAGGGTCAGTGTCCGGAGCTGGCACTGGTGTTCAGGACATGGGAGAGAGTGGAGGAGCAGGGGGACATGGTCAAAAATCCAGAGGTCTCCTGGAGCTCCTGCAGGGAAGTCCTTGTCCAGCATCGTGTTGGGCACTGCTGAGCATCTGTGGGTACCAAGCTCTTGCTGGCCATTTGCCAGTGATGGCCACAGCCTTTGCCTCTGAGTGTGCATTGCCCTGTGTGCCAGGATGGAACTCACCCCTTTGGTGTGGGTGCTGTAAGGCTTAGGGCTTGGTGAGAAGGCACAGGGAGAAGAGCTTGGTTAGAAACGTGAGTGCAAGTTGCTGCCCGGGGCGGGGGGTGGGCGGGGGTTGCTCTCAGTGTTCAGAGCGGGCAGTGGAGCAGTCACCCTGCGCAGAGCTCCGTGGGCACTGGGAGGCACAGAGAAGGCGAGTCGGAGGCTCCACCCTAAAGGAGCAGTGAGGGTCGGGTAGCCTGGCATGTCCTTAGTATCATGGAACCAGACAGGAGGGACAATCAGGGCAGCTTCCAGAAGGAATTGGCCTCCATCTAACCTGTGGGTTGAAGGATAAAAGCAGTGGCGAGAGGGGGAAGGGGTGAGAGTGGCTCCACTGGAGTGGAAGGGCCCCAGGGTGCTGCAGTGACAAGGAGGACCGGGAGGATCTAAATGCGCACATCTGCCTTGTCACCTGACGTGGGCTGCTGCTCGGCCACTGTGAGGCTGGCTGCCCACCTTGGGGATGGACTGGGACCACCGTGGCAGGTCAGCTTCCATGATGTCCACAGTGGGTTCAGCCAGGGGGATCGATTGCCATCACTGCCCCGAGGGGTCCCCGTGACCTTCTCCGTCAGCCTCTGCATGCGTTTCCGGCTCTCATCGGCCATACCCATCCCATTCCTCCCAGGCCCAAGTCTTTTCTACGAAGTCACTTTCCCACCATGGTGTGTCAGGGCCAAAATCAGCACCAAAATCTGTCTCGTCCACTTGGGCTACTGTCCCCAAATTCTGCACACTTGAGCACCGTGAACAACGTTTGTTTTCTCACAGTTCTGGAGGCTGAAGTCCAAGACCAAGCGTCTGACAGGGCGGTCTCCTGGCTCGTAGATGGCCACCTCCTCACTGTGTCCCTTACCTTCCTTGCTATGTGTGTGGATGGAGTTCTCTGATGTCCCTTCTTACAGACGCACAGATCTTATCGATTCTGGCACCAATGTTAGAAACATAAGAATTCTCCCAAGGATCTTTTTCAAATCTGGGGATTCTAGAAAATATCTGATATGGCTCTTGGGAAAGGGACAGTGGCAGTGTAACCCTCCCCCTTCCACCTGCAGTGGAAGGGGGAGGGTTACACTTGATGGGGAAGGGAGCTGTGTGCCACCCAGGGCGCTGGGTGCTTTGCAAGCATTTTCTCCTTTTGTCATGGAGCTTACGTAACTTTCCCTGTGCCAGAGTTTCCTCATGGAATAATCGTACTTAATAGGGCTGGAAAGTGAGTTATATGAAATGATTCACGTGTCCTGGCCCAAGCCCAGCAATCAGTAAATGTTGGCGACCTTAATGGACAGAATCACCATCTGCATGACTCAGAGGCATTTCCTCTCTCTCTCTTAAGGGCCCTTAATTCTGCCACCCGACCAGTTCCTGCCTGAGTTTCCTTGGGTTTCCATCGGCTTCTTTGAGACTTGCCACCCACATATCAAACTCAGGCTCATCCTGGGCTGGAATCATCCCCCTGCCCTCTGCCCCATCCCTGCCACTGCCCCCGAGGGTGCCCAGCTCCGTGCACCTCCCTCCCTCCACCCAGTCACCCAGCTTTGGAATCTGGGTGTCACCTGGCCGCCTTCGCACCTCCATGTGTCATTAGCCCTGCATCCCGTCAAGTGGGTCCCTCCTCCCTCCTCCCAGGGCTTCTTTGGTCCCTCTCAGCTTTGCCTTCTCCTCCCACACCCTTGTGGTCCTCTCTCCTCACCACCACAGAGAGGTCTCCACAGTGGGCGAGAGTCCGGTCGACTCTGGGGGCTCAGTGGTGCCCACATTCAGCACTGCAGCTGTGAGAGTGATCTTGGCCAACTTGGCACTCGATAGGGCTGAGTACGTGGGCTCTAGTATTGGCATGCGCAGGATCAGGCCCTAGGACCCTCGGGCCGGCCTGGCCTTCCTGTCCAGTTCTCATCCATCTCCCTGGACCCTCAGCCTCACTCAGAGGCTCTACTTCCCATGAACACGTGGGGCTGCCAGTCCTCCTGACTCCGATGCCTCCTTCACCAGCCACACGGCTGGTTCCTCTTCCCTTCAGCCTCTGTGTGAGTCTGGGTCCAGGAAGCAGTTGTGCCCTCCCTAGGAGGAGCCGGAACCCTGTCCTCAGTCTCCTGGCACCTGCGTCCTGTCCCCAGCTCAGCAGTTCACTGTGTGCCTTTTCCTAGTTGAGTGCCCTGCACTCGGAGCACTTGAGGTTGGCCAGGGAGTCTGTCTGTATCCCCAACAGGGTGGAGCTGGGCTCCATGAAGACAGAGGGGACTGAGTGTTGAGAGAGGACCATCCACTTTCTTATGCAAAAGGCTATACTGGGAAGCAAGGCGGGGTGATAGCTGACCTCAAAAGGGCCATCTTGCTAGGGTTGGGGGGTTCTAGGGGCTCTGAACCCTGAATCATCTACTGAGCTTCCTGCTTTGCCACAGAGCAGACACGGAAAAGATGCAGCGAGCCTGGCGCAGTGGTGGGTGCCCGTAGTCCAGCCGCCCGGGAGGCTGAGGCAGGGGGGTTGTTTGAGCCCAGGAGTTTGAGGCCAGCCTGGCAACAAAGCAAGACCTCCTCCCACCACTGCAAAAAAAAAAAAAAGAAAAGAAAAAGAAAAAGAGGCATAGCACCTGGATAAGCCCTCAGCTCTCTGAATGTGCATAGAGAACATCCAGATAGGCCCTGTGTGGGCGGCTCCATTCCTCAGGTGGGAACCCACGGGGCTCCTCCTGGCTTGAGGCCCAGGGGCTCTGGGCCAGCAGAAGCCTAACCCAGTTCCAGCTGTCCCCAGCCTGGCTGCCAGAGGGAGATAGATGCACCCCGAGGGCAGCAGGCATTGTTTGTTTTTGGAGAAAAAAAAGGGAAAAGGGGAATTTATGGGATCACCCGTGTGCTCTTTTCAGCGGAAGCGTTTGTGAGAAGGATGTGCTGATCGCGCCTCTGTCCCAGGAGGAAACACCATTTGGCAAATGATTAAAATGCCTTTAAAGTGGACCACGTAGGTTGAAATTGCCCTGTCTCCTGCCTGGGCTCAGGAGGCGGGAGACACGGTCCTCTGAGCCGGTGTCCCCTGTTGGCAGGCCGTGGACTCTGTGGTTTTCTGGCTGGCTTCATGCTCTCTGGTGAGCCTTGGGCTCACTGGACCTCGTGGGAGGATAGCCAGAGCAGCTCGGGAAGGCGAGGAGCAGCTGTGCCCTCCTTGGATGTTGCTGGCCTCTGGAAGGCAGGCCCCCTGACGCAAGCCCCTGGGGCGGCGAGGCCCCTTCCTCTGGCTGCTGAGGACTTGGATTCTGGCTGGTGGCCCCACTGGCTCAGACCTCTAGGCCCACGGGGAGTGTGCATCCCCAGAGGGGGCTCCTGCGGCTGGCTTCTCAGGCCGCTTCCTTGGTGTGAGTGGTGAGCTCACTTGAATTTGGCGGCCACCACCCTGGGAGACACAGAAAGTGGCATCCATTTATCAACCTGTGTTTGTGTCCCTCCAGTTGACCTGACATCCTTTGTGACCCATTTTGAATGGGACATGGCCAAATACCCTGCGAAGCAGCCGCTGGTGAACGTGGTGGACACACTAGCCAAGGTGAGAAGGGCCTTTGAGAACATCCGGCCATCTGAGATGTGGAGTCCAGTGAGTGACCCTGCATAGAGGCCCCCCACCCTGCTCCGTTGGGTCTTTGGGCTTCTGAGGTGCACCTCCTTCCATGGCCTGGACAAGATCTGAACCTGGGAGAGGCCGTGTCACACCCCTCCTGTCCCTGCTACCCTGGGGTTTGGCTGTGGTCTCACAGGACAATCTGCTCAAGGGCCCAAGTCTCCTGTGTTCTGGTCCCTGACCGCAGTCCCCACTGGCCTTGCCTCCCTGCCTCTCTTTACAGAAGTTCAGCGGAGGAAGCTCAGCCCCACCCTCGCCCACCCTACGCACCGGCTGCCCAGCCCCTGGGTGCTTATCTACATTCAAAACCCACTTGCTTTAGCAGTTTGTCTTAGGAGCCCCAACTCCTCAGAGATGGTGTGCCCGCTTGTCACCCGGCCTCCGTGACAACTATGAATGGATAGATGGCACCTGTGACAGACTGAGCTGTGGCCTCCGGCTCACACTTGATGAAATAAAAACTGCACAGTGCAGGCCTGTAGGGACACCATGGCTCCTGCATGCCTTCAGGGCACGCTGACTTGCTGATGGCCCGTCCCTCCCTCCTGCCACTAGCACGAAGCCACTGCTGGACCTGGTAGTTGGGAAGGAGGTCTCCGCGTGGCCAGAAACACAGCTGTCCTGCTCTCTACTGCAAGGAACAGTGTCCCCTGAGTGTGGCGGGTGGGTCACTGGGGGACATGGGTTCCATTCCCCTGCGGGTCCCCTGAGAACAGGGGTGAGGCCAGACTGCTTGGGGATCTGGGTTCGTTCGGCTCCTGCGAGCAGTGCTTACATCACAGGGTCCCAGCTCCTCCCACGACAATCAGGCGGTGATTCTGGAAGGCCCTTCACGGAGGGGCTGCCCAGGTGCCCGTGCCAGGTGCAGCTTCTGGCTACTGTGCACGTCCACCGTGGAGCCAGAGCACATGGCTGTTTGTGGGGCGGGCCCTGCCCTGCCCTGCCTCGCCCTGTACCAGCTTGGAATTCAGAGTCCAGGGATGCTAGATCCAGTGGAGGCCCCCCGGAGCACGTAGCAGGCAGCAGAGTTGGGGCGGAGGCCAGGCTTCTCTCTAGTCCAGGTACCTGAGTGGCTTTGGCAGGACAGCAGGGCAGGAGGGGGAGGAGGCGCTGGTTTTGATAGCGCTGGGAGCCCTGCCAGGCTCTCTTACTTCCCTCCTCACCCACAAGTGGGTCCAGTGTCCTCTGATTTCAGATGAGAAGTAGCTGGGAGGCCAAGGCGTGCCCAGCAGTGCTGAGGTGCATGCGGGGAGGGGAGCCCGGCTCCCGGGACCAAAGCCCAGGAGTTGAGCTGTGTGCATGGCGCTGCTGCCCGAGGAAGCCCTGGTGGCTCCACCACAGGGCCAGCTGGGGCAGAGCCGTGGGGTAGCAGCTCCCTCTGTCCTTCCTGCACCAGGAACCCTTGCGTGACACCCCAGTTCTTCCAACAAGAGGTCTGGTTCTGCCAGCCAGAGACCTCCTCCTCCAAGGAAGCCCCCGAGTTGCCTCAGTGTCCTGTGGATGTGGCTCGGGGGGTCCTGGAGCTTACACCAGGTCCCACCAGTAGGAGCTGGACCTGGCGTGTATGGGGCCTCACTGGGTCCCAGGCCTCAGCTCTCGCTGTCTGGCTGGTGTCCAAGCACCCTCAGCAGCTTTTCTCTGGCTTATGGTGTAATCAAGAAAAAGGATAAACAGTGTTTGTTGTTGTTTTCATTTTACTTTTTTTGGTAATGCTGGGGATCAACCCAGGGCCTTGTGCATGGCGGGGGCTCTACCACTGAACAGCTGCTCACTTAAAAAAAAAAAAGTATAAATATTTTATTAGAAAGTAAGATTGGGCTGGGGATGTAGCTCAGTTGGTAGAGGGCTTGCCTCACATGCAGAAAGTCCTGGGTTCAACCCCCAGCACTAAAAAAAAAGAATCATTTTGGTGATGACACTGTTCCGGGGTCTTCTGCATGGAGCGCAGTTGTCCGCGCACCAGTAGAGAGCGCTATAGCTGAAGGTCACATGGTGGAGGTGAATGGTATACTGGGTTGTACAGTTGCCAGCACAGCTGGGTAGCAAGTGCAGCATGGTGTTCATTTGTGCACTTTAGGTGTGCAGTGAGCGGGGGTAGTACAGTTGTGCCGTGTGGCTGTGCAGTAAGTGCAGGATCGTCACCGACTCCTGTGCCCTTCATTCTAAAGGTCACTGGTATTCAAAGAGGAGCCTCCCTCCCACACACATATTTTATATATATATATTTAGAATCAGATTGTCCATGTTTTGTATCTCGTGTCCCCATCTCAGTGATGGCACCATGCTCTGCTGTTTGCTGGTGTCTAGGGTGTAACGGCTCCGCGGGGGCTGATGGCCGGCGTCCAGCGGTGGGCTTGGACCACTCTCCCTGCCAGCCCACGGGAGGTGGGCCTGGGTCCAGAATGTACTCCAGGATAAGGGGGTCCACCTGGAAGCTGGAGCGACTTCCTGCCCACACAGGCTGGAGATGGTGACCGTGAGGGCTGAGTGTGGCGCAGCTCCTCTGGCGCAGCTCCTCGGGGCGCCGGCTGGGGAGGCATGGGCTGGAAATGGAGAGAGTTGGTCTCAGAGTGTGATGCTGACAAGTCATTGTGACTTGGTCCTCAGTGCCTACAGAGTGGTGTGTTGTCCCCTCCTCCTCCCAGGCGTGGGCTCACCATAGGCCCAGTTGCTGGGATGACAGGGAAATGGAGGGGAGGTCAAAGCCCCCTCTTCCTGCCATTTAGGGGGCAGCTGTTTTTCTTTTCTTTCTTTTCTTTTTGGTCCTGGGGATCTAACCCAGGGGTGCTTTACGGCTGAACTATGTTCCAGCTCTTTTATTTATTTATTCATTTTTATTTTGAGGCAGCTTCTCACTAAGTTGCTCAGGGCCTCACTAAGTTGCTGAGGCAGGCCTTGAACTTGCGATTCCCCTGCCTCAGCCTCCCGAGTTGCTGGGGTTACAGGTGAGTGCCACCTCATCTGGTGGTGGCTGCTGCTTTTCTCACGTGTCCCCTGAGCACTTGGTGGTTATTTTGAGACATTCGAGCACCTCCTTCATCACTTGGGGTGACAGAGCGTTTCCTACCCCCACAGCAACTGGCACAGATCGAGTCAGACCTGAAGTCCCGCACGGCGGCCTACAGCGCCCTGAAGACGACCCTGGAAAACCTGGAGAAGAGGTCCACGTGCGTACCCTTGCCCACCGCCACCGTGGGGGTCTCAGGCTTGCCTTTCCCACTGCGGGGACACCCAGAGTCTGTGCCTGAGCTGAGGAACCTGAGCCAGGGCTGCATCAAGGGGACCTGGGGCAGGAGGAGGTGGTTGCACCCCCTCGTATGTGGCCAGCAGGGAGCGTGTGCCCTGAGGTGCATCTTCCCTCTCCTGCCTGGCAGAGTGGCCACAGGGACTCGGGTGCCTTGTTTGTCCACCTGAACGGTGGGTGAGGCAGTGGGCTGCTGGGCCCGGCAGACAGACCCGTCACCCACGCGGTGCAGCTGTCGGGAGAAAAGTGAGGCCCATTCCACCCACCCCCGGCGGGAACTGCCGCGCTGAGTTGGTGACCCCGGTGGTGGAGGAAGGCTGCTGCGGGGCCCGGGGGTGCTTCTGGACTGGGTGGGGCAGGCGTGGGAAGCTCCCGAGTCTCCCTGGTCCCTGGGCCCCGCTGTTGGTGATTTCTGAAGATTCTCCAGAGAAGGGAAGTGGCCCAAGGGCTCAGAAGCAGCTGCCAGCCCCTGATGGCCTTCCTCAAGCACAGGAATGTCACCTCCTACTGGGCTTCCCTCTTGGAGGGCCCCTGGGCTAGCTCTTTTGGTGACAAGAGCAAATACATGTTGAATGTCTTTAATCTGAAACGCAAAATGCCCCCAAATCGGAGACTTTTTGAGTCCCAGCATGGGGCCGTTGAGTGGACAATCCCACATGTGACCTCATGACTCTGGTCACAGTGAAATGCAGAGATACTGAGATCACTGTACCACATGACCTTCAGGCTAGGTGTGTAAGGTCCATGTGAAACTCAAGGATTTCCGCTGAGCTTGGGCCCCCTCCCCAAGATACCTCATTATGTACCTGCTGCCATCCCCAAATCTGAAACAGTCCAAAAGCAAAAAACACTCCTGGTCCCAAGCATCTCAAAGAAGGGATATTCAAGGTGTAGTTTTCAGTGTAAAATAAGAACCAAAGAGTGAAAAGCACACTTCATCTAGAAGCCATCACTGCTGCCCGACTACATATCAGAACATGAGAGAGAGGACGGGAGGAAGGTGTGGCAGTGAACTCTAAATGGTGACCTTGGCACAGGTCCAGGGTGGCATGGTGGCCTTGGGGCTGGAGGATGCTGAGCCGCCTCCTTGCTGCATCAACAAGTTGTAGGCTTCTTAACTGGTTGATGGCGCTCGCCTATAATCTCAGCAGTCAGGGAGGCTGAGGCAGGAGAATCGCAAGTTCAAAGCCAGCCTCATCAACTTAGTGAGGCCCTGAGCAACTCAATGAAGCCCTGTCTCAAAATAAAAAAGAAAAAGGTCTGAGGCTGTGGCTCAGTGTTTGAGTGCCCTGGGTTCAATCCCCCATACCAAAAAAAAAAAAAAATTGGTCAGGGCCTGGCCTAGCCACTTTGATTGATTTATTGAGCACATACACTGAGTGAAGGAGGGCAACATACAAAGAGGGTGATGAAGCAGTCTCCCTCCTCTGATACTTCTTTTCTCCTTCCTCCCCTGCCCTCCACTCCCCTTCCCTCTTTCTTTCTTGGTACTGGGGATGAAGCTCAGGGCCATGCACATACTAGGCAAGCATTCTACCACTGAGCTATTTTGAAGCAGGGCCTCACGAAGTTGCCCAGGCTCTCCTCAACTTGAGATCCTCCTGCCTCAGCCTTCTGAGTAGCTGGAATCACAGGCCTGCACTGCCGAGCCCAGTCGGCTTCCTTTCTTCTTTCAATGCACATTTGCAAGTGCTTACTATACCCTCGGGCCTAATATTAGGCCCTAAAGATGAAAAGCAGAATAAAACACACTCTCTGCACCTGCAGAGTCACGGTTATTCATTCAACAGACATTGATAGAAAGTCTGCTTCGCGCTGGGTACAGAGGCAAATAGGAGTCCCCCAGCTTGAGAAGACTGTGTCTGCTGCTGGGCCAGGGTAGCTGGGTGCCTCTGGAGGGCTTCCGAGGGATTTGTCCGTGGCCACACAGTTGTGTGGCGATGTTATAAGCAAGAGCAGGCAGGAAGGAAGGCGAACAGGCTCCTGGGCTGGTGGGGCTCTGGAGGAAGGTGTTTCCCGCTGTCTTGAAAGCTTTGGCCTTGGCTTGGAGGTGCCCGGAGGCAGGAGCAGTCCTGGCCTCGGCTTCCACTCCCGCGTCTTCCTGGCTGTCTGGTCTTGGTAGCTGCGTATCGTGTTGGCCCACACGACGCCATGATCCATGCCCTGTGAACACAATGCCCTTTGTTCAGGCCAGGTCCACTGGGCAGGTCCAAAGCTATTTCAGGTGAGTGTCCCCTGGCTGCTGGACAGAAAGGCCTGTAAAGTGACACGGAGCTCTATCTAAGCCTATCTCTGCCCAGGGTGGCCCATGCAGCTGGCCGCTGTGTTGACACTTGAGTAGCTTCAGCGGCTGCTACCTGAGGTCCCCTCCTGATAGCTTGTGGCTTGTGCTGGGCAATGCAGGTCACTTAGGTGTTGGATTCAGCAGCCCCTCAAGACACTGGTGACAGAAGCCCAGGCCCTGCCAGCCTCCCTGTCCCTGGAGGGGAGGAGGCTGGACGCTGGCTGCCCAGCATGAGCAGCGTGAGTGACGGCCTGTGGGGACCTGTGCTAGCCCTAGCCCCACCTCTCCCAGGCCTCCGCTACTGTCTGCCCCACCCTGGTGCCTGGCTTTGGGTGAGGGTCAGTGGCCCTTCCTGCTGGTCACACCTTTCCTTCTGCGTGCCTTTCAGGGGGAACCTCTTTACTCGGACACTGAGTGACATTGTGAGCAAAGAAGACTTTGTGCTGGATTCAGAATATCTCGTCACACTTCTGGTCATCGTCCCCAAGTGCGTGGGCCGGGAGTGAAGGGTTGGGGGGGTGTCTTGGCCTGTGCTTGGGGATCACAGAGGGAAACTGGCACTGCCTGGTGGAGAGGAGGGTGGGCCCCTTCTGCTGCCACCAACCTTGCTTCACGTTGGGGACTGGAGCTGTGAGGAAGAGGATGCCCCTGAGGGTCCCAAGGCACTGGCGTTCCTGCACAGGGGCTCCTGGCGGGCAGATGTGTCTGCGTAACGGCAGGAGGGAGATGGAGCAGTGGAGAAGCAGCCATTTATTGAGCACCTGCTGTGAGCTTACTTCCTCCTGTCCTGGGAGATCTGTGATCATTCCCTCATCCTGTGGTCATGGTCACAGGTCACCTGGGACAGGATCAGGAAGTCATTTGTAAGAGGCAGACATCTACAGCTGAGTTCCTATAGGGACCTTCTGCAGGAGCCCTGGGACCCTCTCGGCAGGCTTGGGGATATTAGGGGCTCTCCCTGGTCCCTGCCGTGCAGCTTCCTGGGAGCCTTTCTGCCAGCAGCGTTGTGTGACTCTGCTCCCGCAGGCCAAGCTATGCACAGTGGAGGAAGACCTATGAATCCCTCTCGGACATGGTGGTCCCCAGGTCGACCAAGTAAGTGAGAGCCCGGTTTGGCCCAGGGTCCCCGGGTCCCTGGCCTGGAATTCCCTCTTGGTCCCACACCAGACTGCCGTCTCTGGAAATTGCTTCACTGCCCCTCTTCTGGGAGGCTGCCCTGGCTGCTGTCCAGCAGAGGGGCTCCTCCAGGGCCCCCTGACTCTTGTTTGTGGCTTAGCGCCCATCTTCTCCACTTGAGGGTCAAGCCAAGACCTGGCTGGAGTGGCTGACCAGGGAGTGGCCACCGCCCCCGAGCAGGAGAGGAAGATGGGCTCAGTGTGTGATCTGCTGGGGTTAGAGAAGAGTGGTCAGTGGCCACTCCAGAAGTGACAGGAGACACCCAGCGTGGTGGCACATGCTTGTAATCCCAGCTCCTCCAGAGACTGAGGCAGGGTGTTTGCAAGTTTGAAGCCAGCCTGGCAACTTAGCAAGACCTTGTCTCAAAATAAAAATAAAAAGGGCCGGGGTATAGCTTGGGGTGGAGCACCCCTGGGTTCCGTCCCAGTGCCTCAAAAAGGAAAAGGCACAGGAGAGGAGCGGGCTAAGCCAGTGTCCACGTGGAGAGCCACGGAGCTGGGAACACGAGCAGGCCAGTCCTGGCGTCAGCAGAGACAGAGCGCTGGGAACAGAGTGAGCAGCAGAGGAAAAGCCACAGGAGGCCACCAGTGCCCTGCTGTCTCCTAAAGGTCTGTGAGTAGGCAGATGGCATCTCTGTGCCCTGGGCACACTCAGTGCACAGGAGAAGCTGGGGAGGGGTGGGGATGAGAAACGCCACCTTCAGGGTGGCTAGTGGTGACCTTGGGACCTAAGCAGAGTGCAGCTGGGCCAGGAAGCAGGGGCCTCTCTGCTGTGCGGCAACGGCTTGCTCTCCTAAGAGGGTGGCGGGTCCGCAGATGTGTGCTGTCCTCGAGGCCTCTCTGTGAGTCTGAGCTGGTTTGTGATTTGGAGGCCGCCGAGTGGAGCCACCCACCCACCTACCTTACCCCACCCGGAGCTGCCTGCTCCCCTCCCCTCCTAGAGGCCTCTGCCCTGCCTGCTCCCTCGTGGCAGGTAGCTCCCCCAGGGCCACTAACTCACTGGAGATGGCCATCAGGAGCCAAGGAACAGGACGGTCACTGCCTGAGGTCACAGGGGAGGGGGAGGAGTGAGCCGGCAGCGTGTGTGCAGGGGAGGAGAGGCCTCATAGCTGCCCGCTGGCCTGGCCGCTTTGCTGCTCCCTGCTGCACGGGCCCAGGAATCCTAGCCTTGCCAGGCGGGGCTGCCTTGGCAGAGGGCACCTGCGCAGACGATTCTGGAAAGATGTGGAGCACGGGAGTGGCTCCTGTGGGTCTGAGCTCTGAGAAACAGGAGCGGTGACCAGGCCCGCATGTGCCCGGGGCATGCCGTTGCCCAGCACTCCCAGTATCAGGGGCTTCTGGCCAATGGGACTTGGAGGTGCGTAGACCACTGGCTTCAGGAGCACCTGTGTTCCTGGGGACAGTGACACCAGTGGTCCTGTGCTGAGGCGTGCTGGGGATGCTGTGGTAGCCATATGGCACTTGGTGACATTGGAAGTGAACTGGACCTTGTGGGGTGGTTTCTACCAACTGGAAATCTACCCTGCTTCCTTATAAGCAAGAGTGCCGAGGACTCCCTGGCCCAGCCTCCGTGACCGAAGCCCCAGAGGGACTTGATCCAAAGCCATTTAGTGAGCAGGAGGCAGCCCGTCCTCCTCACTCCCCACGGCTCCCACCTTTAGATCCCTGGAGGCTCCGGGGCCCTGGCTGGAGCGGAGTGTGGAAGGGAAGGAGGGAGCCAACCCGGAGCAAGGAAACGATAAGGGTCACCTGTGGTTCCCCGTCCTCTGGCTGCCAGGGCCCCCAGCATGGCCATCATGCCCAGCTCTGCAGTGGCTGACCTCCCGGGAGCCCAGCTCCAGTGCAGCTGGCTCAAGGGGACATTGGTAGACGGTGCAGTGTGTGGATTCTTTTCCCCAACAGACTGATTGCCGAGGACAACGAGGGTGGCCTCTTCACAGTGACTCTGTTTCGAAAAGTGATTGATGATTTCAAAATCAAAGCCAAAGAGAACAAGTAAGGGCGCACCCTGTGGGCTCCCCAGGTTTGGTGTGTGTCCCCAGGAGTGGGGGGTGTCTGCCACTTTTGGAAGCTTCTTAGTGACAGCTCTTGTTTTCAGGTTCACTGTTCGTGAATTTTTCTATGATGAGAAAGAAATTAAAAGGGAAAGGGAAGAGATGACCAGGTTGCTGTCTGATAAGAAGCAACAGTATGTGAGTATCCCAGGCAGGCGGTGAATTTCACACAATTGAGCTGCCCCCTGAAGGCCCTTGGGGCGAATGCCCTCTTCTAAATCACAGTGTCCCCTGGGCTCACCCCTTCAGGAACAGCTGTCTCAAGGGCCTCGAGAGCAGGTCTGGGAAAGGATGGTAAGGAGGAACACAGGTGATTCCAAGGGCCATGAACCGTGAGCCCACACTGTGCCGCGCTACACCGGCTCTCGCCTGCCCTGACCTCTGCACTTACCAGAAGGGGTCATCAGCCCCCTGCAGAGGAGAACCAAAACTGAGGCCCTCCCCTCCTTTGGCTAGAGGACCCTGCCTAAGGTCTCCCTGCAGGTGGGAAGTGCAGCCCCAGGGTCACGCAGGGCAGGTGGGCTCTAGATGAATCCTCTGTGCCCAGTGTGGCCATCTCCTCGGAGCATGAATGGCGCCAGTCATCTGCTGACTTTGGCTGTGTGGCTTCCAGGGCGTCACCAGCGCCTGTATTGACCTCCCCTGTGCTCTTAGCAGAGAGAGGGTACTTAGCTGGGACTTCCGATCACAGCCACTTGGAAATGCTGTGGAGGGGGCAGCCTGGCTCACGAGGGAGAAGAACTGGAGAGACCAGAGTGTAGTTTGGAGGGAGTTGCCACCTCTCTGTAAAATGGGCACCTTGCAGACTGGGTGTCCTGTAGCTGCAGAGCCCAGAGGAACCTCTCTTTGGATGAGCATCCCAAGGAGCCCATCTGGATGGGAGGGTCTCCGCCTCTTCTCCCCCATCCCTACTGGGAAGGGTTCTTAGGAGGAGAGAGGAGGGAAGAATGAGTAGAATGTGCTCAGGCCTTGCTGAGGAGTGTGTGTAAACAGAAGGCTGTGTGTCTGTGCTTGGGGAGAAGAGCAGGCAGGAGTGTTGCACACGTGGCTGGGTGTTCGCCCCGGGCCTCCTCCCACGTCAGGCAGAAGGCCGGGGACCTACACGTCCACCTTGACCTGGGTCAGTGCTCTTTGGCAAGAAAGCAGCCACCACCTCGGGAGAGAGCATGAGCCATGGAGCCCCTAGACTGGATCCCGGAGCCTCCTGGTGCTTCCCTTTGGGGAGGAGCCAGGGCCGGGGACGTCGAACCCAGCCTGGGGACGGTTAGCCGCCTCCCCGGGAGCGAAAGCAGAGACACGTGTGTGCACCAAGCGAATGTGCACCTGTGCTCCTCAGACTGGAAGGCTGCTGGGCCCTGTGCCCCCGAGGTTGCTCCTGTCCTTGGAGCAGTGTCACAGGCCTGGCATACCCAGGCAGTGCCCGAGAACAGCAAGCCCAAGGGTGTCCCTGCTCGATGCCCGCTTGCTCACGAATGCCCTGCTGTTCTCTTCAGTTGGGCCTTCCCTGGTCGCTATGGTCTTGACCCCACACTGCCACGGTGTTCCTGGATGAGGCCAGATGTGTCCAGTTAGAGCCCTGCCAGAGGACAGGTGGTGAAGTAGGACCTTTGGCACCCGCCTCCATGCTGGCAGATCTGCCAGGCTCTCTTGAGTCAGGGTGACACAAAGACGCCTGCCACCTGCCATGTGGGGCTCAGGTTGCCCACTGAGTGCCAGGCTGCCATGTGTTGTCTGCACGAGGTGTGGACTTCAGCACCCCCACGCTGCCCCAGAGAGGCTGCCAGGGCTCCCTGCAGGTGGGAGTGGAGCCCCAGGAAGCCGTGCCAGTGAGCAGAGACTGACTGGGGCTCAGCTGCAGGCGGCCCCTGCTGTCTGGAGATGGCTCTCCTCCTGGCCTGGTTGGAAGTGACACACCCTGCATCGTTATCCTTTCTGCTTCCTCCATCAGAGGCGACAGAGAGGGCCCAAGTTTCAGGGTGCGTTGACAGCACAGGGTGGAACTGTCCTGTTTTCCACCTGCTTTCAGAGACAGGAGATGGAGGGTGAAGTGGCCTCACAAGCATGCCTGACTAATTTTCTGCACGTGGCACGCGTCAGTGCTCTGTGAATGCCAAGGAGGCATCTGTGGCGGGTGTGGCAGGGACACCGTGACCGAGCCCGGGCAGACCAGCTCTGCAGGCGGGGCCCTTTCCACTAGTGCCTCTTGTGCTGTCCTTATTTGCCCATGGTGGACAGTGGAGGTGTTGACCCAGGCCAGGCAGGGAGGTGGCGTGGGACCAGCCCCACTTGCTGGCGTCGGGAGCCAATGCTTTGGCTCTGCCACATCCTAACCAGCAGTACATGAGTGCCTGGGCGGGCCAGGGTGTCTGTGCTTGCTGTCACAGCTCTTCGGGCAATGAGAATTATTCTGTGTGTTTGTGATGCATGTTTGCTGAAAGATTAATAAATCATTTCTGTGCCTTTAGCAAACTTCCTGTGTTGCTCTTAAAAAGGGATCATCTACCTTCCGGGACCACAAGGTTAAGGTAACCCCGCTAGGGAACCCTGATAGGCCTGCTGCGGGGCAGACCGACAGAGAGAGAGAGAGTGAGGGCGAGGGCGAGGTAAGCAGCCCCCGGGAGTCCTGGGGGTCCCTGCGCGCATCTCCCTGCCAGCTCAGGTGTCTTCTGAGAAACCGCGTCCTTGCATTTCTGTTGTCTCATCCGGCTTGTGAGTTCTTAAATTCATTCGAGGAGCCTGGAATCACGCCTTCCTCTGATCTGCAGGCCCCTCTGGAGCTGCCCCTCCCGGCAGGGAATGGTGCTTGTGGGCCAGCGTGCTTGTGCCCTGGCCAGGTGGCTGGGGCTGGTGATGGGCAGGGCCCTGGTGGGGGTGGTGGCAGGCAGCTCTCAGTCTCCTTGTTTGGCTGCCCTGGCTGGACCTGCCCCTGACCTTGGTGGGCAGTTGGTGCTATCGGATGGAAGCTTGGGGCTCTTGAGCTCCCCCAGAGGACCGGCCACCCCAGTCTCAGTGGCTGTTGTTGTGGCCATAGATGGGGCTTGAGAAACCTCTGGAGTGGCAGTTGGTGGATGGTACCAGGACCCCAAGGGTGGGGCCTTCCCAGAAGGTGGGCTCCTTGGCTGGTCAATGTCAGAAGCTGCCCGCCGACAGCCTTGAGGTCAGGGGCTGCCCTGCCCTCATGCCCCAGTCTGTGGTGGCCCCTCGCATGTGCCTGGTGGCTGACCGGCTGAGCTTCCCCAGCACCCGACGCCCTGGACACGGTGGCCCTGAGCCTCCCCTGGGGCTCTTCCGACTCTGCTTCTGCTGGTTCCTGGGCATTTCTTCTCAGCTCAGGGCTTGCTCTGTCAACACCTGAGTCCTTTCCTGGGTCGCTTTCGGCCAGTGGCTGGAGGGGTCATGTGGCTGTCCTGTCTCTGCAGGGCCCCCTGCTGCGCTGGCTCAAGGTGAACTTCAGCGAGGCTTTTGTTGCCTGGATTCACATAAAGGCCCTCAGAGTGTTTGTGGAGTCCGTGCTCAGGTGCGTGAGGGGGCCCAGCTGTCCTGAGGGTGGGCAGGAGGGACCAGCTCTGGGCCACCAAGCTCCCGCCTTCCCCTTTCCTACCGTCTTCTTGCCCTCTGCTTGCCCTCCTGACTGGTTCTCAGCAGCTCTCTTGACTTCCTGAGGCCAGAGAAGCCCCCTCGGCCACGTGCCCCCCGCCCCTTGTCTGCTGCTCCTTCCTGTCGGGCCAGGCTCAGGCCAGGGTCACCTGGGCTTCCTCTCGTGCCTCACTCTCCTACCCTGGGTGGACTTGTTGGGCCTGAGGGGCCTAGTGGCTCCTGGAAGATGTCCCAGACTGTCTCAGCCCTCAACCTCTAAGACCAGTAGTTAGGGTGGCCCGCAAAGAAAATCAAAGCCAAACCATCACCGGTGAATTTTGTTTTGCCCTATTATTTTTTTTAATAAAACCAAAAGAGATTCACCGTGGAATATTTGAAAATTATAGGTAAACAAACACAAAGGATGAATAAAAATCACCTGTACAGGACTAGAGGTGTGGCTTTTCTAGAAAGTGCAAGGCCCTGGGGTTCTATCCCAAGCACTGCTCAGGACCAAAAAGAAAAGGAAAAAAAAGTTATTTGTAATATATCCTGGGACATGCCCGTTTTGGTTTCTGGTGGGGTGTGTGAGTGTGTGTGTGTGTGGTGTGCACGCGCGTGTGTGCGTACACTGCAGACCAAACCCAGGGCCTCATGCTTGCTAAGCAAGTGCTCTATCCCTGCACCCAAGTGATTTTTAATAGATATTTCTTGATATAAGGATTTTTAATATATAATTTGTATGGAAATTTTATCAGACAGGAAATGCCTTTTCCCCCCATCCCCAGTCTTTTTTATTCTGTTTTTAATTTTTGAGACAGGTCTCTGGGGGTCTCACTAATTTGCCAAGTCTGACCTTGGACTTGTGATCCTCCTGCCTCAGCCTCCTGAGTTACTGGGATCCTGGGGAGCACCACCACTTCATTACGGGAAATGCTGTTTGAAGCCTGCTTCTCTGTCTTACTCTGATCATGTCTGTTCCCTTAAGTGTGCTGGATCTTGGCAGTGTCACACATGTTGGCTGCTGTGCCCTGCAGGCTGCTGGCTTCTCTGTTCCCTATGACCCTCTGGGTGAGCTCCAGGGACCCCTTTCCTGCCTGTTCTGGAGGGTGCCTCTGGATCCCTCTGGTCTCCGCCGGCGGTTCCCAACTTGCCCTGTTTCTTGGTCTCCAGGGTCTGCCGTTTGCTGCTGGAGGTGCTTCCTGGACAGCTGGCTCATCCTCTCTCCCTCACGCCTCCTCTGGCATCCCTGGTTCAGCCAAGGGCCTCACCATCCCTTCCATCCCACACCCCGAGTCTGGCTGCCAGCCTGGACACCTCCCATCCTTAGGCCCTACAACCTTCAGCCCTGCACCCCGTGATACACCGGCCTCCTCTGTCCTCACTCTCCTGTCCTCTCCCTGCTGCCGTCAGCCTCTGTGGGTCTCGGCTTCAGTTCCTCTTCTACATAAGTGTCCATGTATGTTTTTGCCCCATACAGACCCAACTCTGGTTCCTTGTTCTTCCTCCCGACACCCACACATGTACACACCTCTGCATGATACTCGTGCCCTCCTTAGAGGCCTGCTGCGACAGATCATCGCATTGAGTTACAGGGTGCACCAGCTAACCTGGTCTAGCTGTGTGTAGGAGAGAGCCCAGACCAACCCTCCTGGTGCTGGAGATGTGTTCTCAGGCCCCATGCAGTGTGGCCTGTCCAGGCCACATGGGTTGCCCATCTGCTCAAGAGACAGGTAGAGAATATATCCCTAAAAATCTTAAGTAAGTTCAGTAAAACTTTCAAGTGTTTCCCTTGAAAGTATATGCAAAAATAATTCCTTTTGAAAACTATCAATGCATGTCATCCTTTACTCCCCATTTTTCTTGAATATAGTTATAATTCATGTGCACTGTAAAAAATTTCAAGTTCAGGGGTTGGGATTATGGCTTGGTCGTAGAGCACTTGCCTGGCATGCATGAGGTCCTGGGTTTGATTTAAAGTACAGCAGGAAAAAAATTTGATAATGGAGTTTTGTTTTTTTTTTAATTCAAGCTCAGAAATATGTACTATTCTCAGTGCCCATCGATTACCACGGTTAGTGCTTTGAGACTCGTTATTCTCCTGTTTATACTTAATGCTCTATAACTTATTTTATATTCCACTCAGATCAGTATGTGTAGAGCTATTTGATTCTTTTGGAAGGCTTTCTCATAGCCTGCCACATGGAGATACCATAATCTAAAGACATAGGGAGCCAACAAGATCCTTGGAGGAAAGACATGTAAGGGGAGGAAGTGAGCCACCGCCTCCCGGGCCCCCATCTAGCACCATGGCTCACTCCTGGCTGCTTGTGGCTTTTGTCCCCCCTGCAGTGGGAAGTCTGGCTCCTCTCTCCATCTGTTATCCAGCCTAGGGTCGATGGAAATGTTTCTTGGTTGAATAAAATCCAGGTAAAGGGGACACAGCCCTCAGTTGAGGAGGTGCTGGCTTGCCCTCATGGATGAAGGACACCAGATGCTTCAGTGACCCAAGACGCAGATGGAACAGGTGCTGAGAGCAACAGGCTGGGATGAGGTTACTGCAGCTGGCTGGGAGCTGGGTTTTGGTGGGGAAAAGATATTATCGTGGTGGTAGGTTTGGGGAATGAGATCACTCGGAGAGCTGCATGGAGGAAAAGTGCCAAGGGGGAGCCCTGACATTTAAGGGGTGAATGGAGAAGTCCGTGGTGGGAGGAGGGAGCAGGATGAAAGGCTGAGGTTTAGCATGTCCTTTGGATTTGGCCTTTAGGAGGTCATTGAGAGAAGCTGAAGGGCAGTGGTTGAAGTGATGTAGGACGTTACTCTCAGATTTGGCTCTGAGGAGTACGAGAGCTCTGGAGTTGAGAAGCTTTCATGTTTGATAGGTATGAAGTCACTATGGTAAAGGGAAGGGGATGGTAATGGGGAAAGGCTAAGTTCTGCAGCAACAGGACAGCTCCCACCAGTGACCTCCGCCATCATGAAGTGGTGGCTCCTCTCCCAGGCAGGCCAGGGCAACAGCCTGGGCAGCATCTTGTCTGAGGAGGAGAGCTGGACAGCTACTGCTGGAGGCCACGTTCTGGGAGACGGGGAAGGCGTAGGACAGGGATGCTGCCACCAAGAGGCAGAAAGCAGACTAGATGGGTCTTGAAAGAGGATGGGGGACCTGAAGCTACCTCCAGGCTGAAGTGGCCTTGACTGGTGGGTGACCAGGCTGAAGGATGACACAGCAGGGTGGCAAATGGAAGGGTTGCATCCTAGTGGCAGAGCAAGAGCCTAGCAGTTGCCTCAGGAGCAGACGTGTTGCCTGGCGTGGGTTAGGGATTCTGCCACCCGAGGCTGCACAGGAGAGGGAGAGCCACCAGGTGGAGTCAAGGTTTGCAGTGCTTGATGCCAGCCATGGGAGCTGGTTAGGAAGGAGCTGAGCAGCACATCCAAGGTAGAGGGCTCTCCAGAGGGTACAGCAGCCTCTCTGCTGACCACAGATGGAACAAAAGGAATGGGGGGCAATTAACTGGGCCTATCCTCTCACCTGGGATCTACCCAAATGCCAGTCACCCTGCCAGCCACCATGGCACCTGCTTCTAGGAAGTAAAAGCAGCAGGAAGAGGTTGGGCTTGTGCTGTCAGCCAAGCGGGAGCACCTGTGGCTGCTTCACTGGCCGGTTCACATGGCCTTTCTGCAGCTCTAACAGGAGAGCTCTGTATCCCAGGAACCCTCTGCATGAAGTGAGGCCCGGGAAGGCTTGCAGTGAGGGTCTGACTGAGTGCACTAGTGCCAACAGGTGCTGCCCTGTGACTCAGGTCCACAGCAGGCCTGCCTGAAAGCCAAACCCTGAGTGAGTGTGAGGCATCCTGTCGGTGGCCAGGGAGCGACTGCTCACCTCTAGTCCTAAGCATGCTCTACAGCTTTTTCTGTGCAGAGGTCTAGAGGTCAGTCTCACCTCTGACCCTGGTCATTTCGCCCAGCTGAGGTTCCTTTTTTCTTCAAGCTACACTGGTTGAAGCTGCTCATTCTTGGAACTCCTTTATTCTGTCAAACTCGTCTTCCTGGGTCTGTGCTCAGTAGCTGAATGCCTGTCTGTCTGGGCAGGTACGGGCTGCCAGTGAACTTCCAGGCAGTGCTCCTGCAGCCTCACAAGAAGTCAGCCACCAAACGCTTGAGGGAGGTGCTGAACTCTGTCTTCCGGCACCTGGATGAAGTGGCGGCAGCAAGTATCCTGGATGTAGGTATCTAACCCAAGCCTGCGGCCAGGATATCCACAGGACGGATACTTGAAACATAAGGCACTTGCCAACCTGTTGGGAAAACCTACCCTCACAAACATGGAGGCACACCAAGGAGGGCTGAGTGTGTGTGTGTGTGTGTGTGTGTGTGTGTGTGAGAGAGAGAGAGAGAGAAGCACTGTGCAGGCCCAAACATGTGGTCAGTGCCTGGAAAGTTTCCTCAAAAATACAAAGGAAAAGCTGTTTCTATACTAAGAACACTACCGTGTCCTCTCTCCTAGGCGTCTGTGGAGATCCCTGGGCTGCAACTCAGTAACCAAGACTACTTCCCCTACGTCTACTTCCACATTGACCTCGGCCTTCTTGACTAGGAAGGCCAGCAGGCACAGCTGGCTTCACAGGCAGGCTGTCGGTGCAGACACTGCTTTCTCTAAGACAAAGGATGAAGGCCTACAGAACTGTGATTTTCAGAGAAAGTGCTCACAAAAGTTAGTTACAGTGTATTTATTTTTTTAAGTTACAATAAAATGCTCAGTCCTTTGAAGTCTCTTATGTTCTAACATAATTCAAAACTTGATTTTTTTCTGAGTTGTTTACGTAAATCTGAATGACCTATAATGTGGTAACCTGCTGCTTTCATGTTTGTTCCTGTAGCACAGGAACAAACTAAGTTCTAAGGGAGATCAGTAGGAACATAAAATACCTTGAGCTAACTGTATAACCAGGTATCCTAATAAATGGTCACTGGTGACAGCCCAAAGACAAATTTGGGAGCAGGAGAAGCAGATCTCATCTGACAAGCAAGTTCCCTTGTGCACTCTGCATTGTGGGCATCCCAAGGCAGCATTTGAGTCAAAGAGGTCTTGTTTTCCGTTTTAAAAAAGGTTCATGGGGAGAAGGAGCCAGGGTCATCAGTTCATGACATTAATTTACTGCTGAACATCTGACTCTGTATGATGTGGACACTAATTTCATACATGTATTGGCATTGTCCAAAATATCATTTTATTCTTTAATGGAAAAAGCCATTGATATTCAAATGAGGAATCACATTTAAAAAACCTATATATAAGAAACAACCTCCAAGAACATTCAAGCAGCCATCAGGGGGAGGGAAATGTTTCTACAGCCCAGTTTTCTTCAAAATATTATGTGAGAATACAATCCAATCCACTGACTACAACAATTCATAGAATTTTTCAAAGTTTTCTTGAGATGCAAAAGCTTACTGTCGCAGTGCTTTCAAATGACCAATCAAGTGTTACTTCCTGGTTAAAAAGGCCCCTGGTAGATTAGTCGGATTGTAAAGAATGTTTCTTCACTGCTGGAAAAATCTGTTCACTCTCAAGAAAAGAAAATGATCTGAAGCCTGGGCTGTGGCTCTCACAATTCGTCTTTCTCCAAGTCATCAAGCTCCACATCGCTGAGGTCAATGTCATCCTCCACAGGAAGCTGGGAGACAGAAAGCCATGGTCAGAGCTGCAGGTGGAGACCCCCCGACAGTCCTCCCTCTCTTGTAACAAGGAACAAACTAAGTTCTAGAGGTCCCCAGATGGCAGGCTCGTGTCCCCTTGGCCAGCTCTTCCTTTTCCTCTGTGCCCATTATCATACAGATGTAAACGCTGAGAACTGGGAAGCCAGGGGAGGGTACTAGGGACAGAATTGTATAGAAATGTGAATTTGAAGAATTGTTTTTCATTTCTCAGAGACAAAATATATGAATTCCAGGTCATGTGTTCACCTTAGGGGGAACAATAAGGAAAGCGGCCTTACCACTGGACTTTAAGGTGGACATTTGTCAAGCTTACCCAGATTTACATAGATCCAAACTGCCTACTATTTGGTAAGCTGCTGCTTGTGTCTCTATGGGAATTTAAGGCGATCAGTGAAACATAAAAAAACTTGCGCTAATTGAATAACCAGACAGCCTAATAAATGGTCACTGGTGACAGCCCAAAAGGCTGTGCAGCTCTTTCATGTGATAGGCAAGAGCATCTTTAGGGAAAGAGCCTCTGGAGAGGTACAGGACTCAGAACACTAGGAGCTCCCAGCCCAGGGTCTGGCCACAGAAACACACAAGCCTCAGGAAAGAAAATGGGACTTTTTCAACTGGGCAGCTTGGCCTTGACCAGCACTTACCTCACCGTCCCTGCCATCCCAGGGCTCTCTTACAGTGATAGCAGGAAAGGCACCACCTCCCACTGGTGCTGTGGAGCCACGCCCAAAAGACAGCTCCCTTGGGGAAAAAGACCAGAATACACACATTTATGATGGACTACTGATCAATGAACTGTCAAAAAGGATGAGCAGAGGAATGACATGTCCCCTGTATGTGTGAGGCATTTCTTGCTATCGTATGTTCCTGAAAGGCAGCTGGTGAACAGTATTATTTTCCAGTCAAGGACCACAGAGCCAGAAAGGATGCTCCTGAGGCCTTTGCATCTGCTAAAGCCAGGCATCAGACAGTTCTTAAAAACCTAGAAGCTGTGCAGCCTTAATAAAAGTACATACAACATACCCAGGTTGATTTAGAACACTGGCTACCAGTGAATGTTGTTTTCTAAGACTGTGAACTGTATAGAGCATGTCAACTCACTAGTGAGGTGAGTGGTTTTAGCAAACCCAGGGCTAGGGCTGGCAGAGAGCTGGTGTACATATCTGTTTAGCAGTGAGGCGTGAGCATTTGCACTTGAAAAATACCATAGGCTTCTTGTAATCTGGCCACTGGAAAACCAGAGCTCAAAATACTGTCAGTGCAGATTCATAGAGACCATCCAACAACCCACAGAAACTCAAGGCAACAGCAGTGAAATTAACTGGATGAAGTAACAGCAACAAGATTTAGCTGTATTCAAATTCTGAAAATCCCGACTTTACAACTGAATAAACAGAACTCTGACAAATCACAAACTTAAGCAGTCCCTAAACTTTGTATGAAAACACCCCATTAACTGGCAAGAATGTATAGTTTCATTTGGAAATGAAATAAACCATAAAATTAAGATGACTGACAGTTCAAATCATTTAGTTGTTTAAGGTACGATAATAGTACTATGACTGTCTTTGAAAGCTGTCATTTAGCAGTACATGATAAAATATTTTACAGCTGACAGGAGGGGACTTGCTTTAAAATATTGTTGGTAGAAGCAGATGATAATATAAGGCTTTAGTTGCTAGCTGTTGAAGTTGAAAACAAGTAGGAAAAAAAGACCTTTAGTTTAGTTTCTCTGCTTTTGCAATGATTGAATTTTTCCATAATAACTCAAAAAAAAAATTAAGGAAAAATGTAATACATTCAGTTCCATTTGTTACAATGCTTAGGGCAAATGCAAACTAAAAAGATGCCCTAAAATGTCCACTTTGATGTCATGTTTATTGCTTCTCACATACACCTACCTTCCGCTTTATTTCTAAACGAGCAGATTTACAACAAACCCTCTAATGTAACTCCTTCTTCCCATTATTCAAATCATGATGGATGTAATACTCTAAGATTTTAAAAATAACAGCTACATGTAGATGTGTACTCTGTCCCTGGCACTTTTTCTGGTAACTATATAGTTACCAAAGTCTATATAGGAGTCCTACAAGAGGTAGTACTAGTATCCCATTAAAATAAATAAGGAGGTGGGGTGTGTGCATGTGTATAAAACTTATGTCATTTTTTTCATATAGTGGCTGAGAAATGAACAAAGAAGGAAGCAAGAATTGGTAAACAAAATCTCTTTGGGCAAGGCTTCATATTTGCCTAAACACGATCAAGGCAGTTTTAGCATAAGTTGCATAGCAGAGGAGAGTCAGTTCTATAAATGGCTGTGACTTGAGAATGCATGTTGTCTGCACAATGAGGGAGTGACTTAAGTAAGCACACCCATTTTCAAGTAACTCATTCCAAAACGAATGGAAACCACATCACCTGAGGTCAGCAGTACAAAGCACACTAGGGTGGGAATGGGTGAGACAGGGCTGCCTGTAGCTTTATGAGAACTGGAATGAACCCAAGGCCGGGTGCACAGAAGGGCAACAAGGAGGCCTGAGGATGACTATGCACACTATGTAGAGTATTTCCAAGAAAAGAGAATAAAGCATAGGAAACCAATTTAAAAGCTCTACTTTAGGAACACAGAATTGTAAGTTTGAATAAAAAATAATTCCATTTATTGCTGGTTTATACATACCTAGTTTAAAATGAAAAACCACAATAGAACCAAATAGATCAAACAATAAACAACTAAGGAAATAAGAAATTACCTGAGAAACTCATTAATGCCTTGCTCACTGAAAGACCCTTTTAGAAGCGCAAATTTCATCTTGCGTGCATTGATGGCTGCCATGGCAGGGTATCCAAACCCTCCAATACCCAGTGCGTTCTCAAGTTCACTCTGGGCTCCAGCTTCTGTCCACAGCCACCTAGAAAAGCACATGGGCTTTTAGGGCAAAGATGTCTTTTAAATCAGTTAGAAGTCTAGCTAGTAGATCTTAATAAAGTCCCCGGAGTGGATGGCTGTATTTTAAGACTCTTTTTGTCCCAGTCCCCATAATGTCCACAAAACTATGAATTTCCCATTTTTACCTGAATCCCACCAATATCATTTGTGTTATAGTGCATACTCCTGCATTTGGTGTGTATGACATGTATGCTGAACAAATGGAGGAGGGGCAAAGTCATTGTGACAGGGACAGCAGAGGGCACTAGATACCTGGGGGAAACAATAGATACTAAGGATGAGGAGCAAGAAGAGAAACGGGAAGACAGAGACATACTTTGTTGTAAATCTGCTTAGATCTACCCCCCCACTCAGAAGTGGGTAAGGAAGTTGGGCATGATGGTACATGCCTGTAATCCTAACAACTTGGGAGGCTGAAGCAGGATTGCAAGTTCAAGGCCAACATGGACAACTTATTAAGACCCTGTTTTATAAAATAAAAAGGCCTAGGGACGTAGCTCAGTGGTAAAGCACCTCTGGGTTCAAACCCCAGTACCAAAAACCAAACCAAGCCAAACCAAAACCAAACCCCACAAAAGGTGGATAAGGAAACTCCCTCCTTCTCTCATTCCTTCCCTGGCAAGGGCTCCCACTGAGTACATCCCTACTCCTGTATTCTTCTTTATTTAGTCTTTGAAGGCAGTACTACAATTCAGCTACATTGCTAATTTTTGCTTGTTAATAACCTAGAACTCCAGTCACCATTGGAGTTAAAATATGATAACTATGATAAAAATAAAATATATACTGTGAGTCAAGAGCTCCTTGACTTCCCCCCTCCTAAATGCCAATTATTTTTCTATCTTAAATAAAACACACAGTAGGAAAGAGAGGAGCACATCCTAGAAAACACAGAGGGCACCACTTTCAGGAAGTCCCACACTCCCTATCTACCAACACACATTGGGAAGCTGCATAACTCACCCCCACATTTTCTTCTTGTATTTGTCTGCCAACTTGAGAAGAACTTCCAAGTAAGAATTTCTCCCTGAAGCTCCTGATTTTAATGAACAAAATAATGTTAAAGGTAAAAAAATAAGACTGAGCCATTTACAAAGTGTTCTCCCTGGCACAGGACAGTCAATGGGAAGCAGCTTCTCTCGGCTCACCTGTGTCGAGGATGTGGGGCAGCACGGCCACAACGCAGAGCTGGTGCTCCTCACACGTACTCTTGGCAATGTCCTCGTTGATTATCTGTAGGGCCCAGAAGACATGGGACAGTTGGAAGGCTGCACAACACAACACCACGTAAGCATGAAAACAAAGGCTTAGCATTGGCACTTCCATTAGAGACGAGGAGACTCCTCCCAAATAATGCTTCCTTGTATAGAAACACCAATAACCCAATATACAAGATTTCTGGAGCACCTACTGCATACAGATCTGAAATCACAATGAATACTCACTCATTTAAACAGATTATACCCACATGGACTGTATTTTCATAAGCTTGAGGCTCCATGCCTCGGTTTCCCTATATGTAAAAGAGATACAAACAGTATCTACTTCTCAGCATTCATGTGAAAGTTAAAGGAGAAAAATCTACCTAAAAGCACTACGTAGTGCCCCTTCTGTGATTAGGTACTCAATAAATGTTGGCTATTGTTTTAAGCATAAAAATAACTGAATTAACTCTATGTTTAAGAAACTAATGTATGTTTTTGCTCACAGTGCAATTATTTTAATGCTGAAAGTTACAAAAAGAAGCAAAATTTACCAGATTTTTTTTCCATTTGGAAGTTCAAAACTACTTTAGAATATTTTTAAAAGGAAGTAAAAAAAAGCTTAAATTGAACAGACCTAAAACAAACAAAAAAAGCCCATGTCATTTCTGCTTTAATATTCCTTATTATCAGACTGGAAAATCTTTCCTTACTACCAATGGATCAAGTAGTTTACCTCAAGCAGCTCAGGAGGTGGGGCGTTATCAGAAAACAAATCAAGGGCCCGGGACACTATGTCAGACCTTGTCCGCCCTCCATCATAATCCACAGGAGACTCGTCTTTCTGAAATATCTTGATTGTAGGAAATCCTCTAATCTATTTTTAAAATCAAATTAAATTTAATTAAAAAACAAACAAATAAACCCAAGCAATCTTAATGGTTTCTAAGATATCATTTACCGTAACAAAAATATTCCCCAGTCTGCATCAATGTCAGATGGAAGGCTCAAGAGTGCTGTCAATTATGGAGTTTTAATAATCTGACTGCAAGGTTCAGCCAAACCTTATTCAAGCCTTTGATATTTGATTAAGACAGTCTACATGCTCTAAAACAGACAGACTAACTTCCAAAAGCCAGGTACACAACTTGAAAAAGCAGGGGCAGCTGAAGTTGTCCATTAGGCTTCATTCAGTTCAAGTGGTATGAAGAACCCCAACCCCGGGAGTGCCAGGCTCAAGAGTTAGGGTAATAATGGGACTTAAGTCTGTTCATTACAAAATGGTTCGAGATCTCCACTCCCAGCCTGTGGGGAGGCCTGAAGTAATAAATCAACAAGCCTTATGCACTTACGCCGTATCGGCTGGCTAGCACCTGATTCACAGTGGCGTCCACAGCCGCCAGCTTCACTTTTCCTTTGGTTTGCTCCTTTACTTCTGTGGCTGCAGCAGCCCACTCAGGCTCTAGGCTGTAGAAAAATTTGCATCTTAGAAGTGCTTTTAACTCACAGCACAGGTACTTTGACTGATCAGTGCCTTTCTGCCCAATCCCTGTAACATCTTGTGGAGCTTCACAAAAGAAATGATGCTAGCCTTCACAACTGCTTCCCAGCCCTTCACTGCCCACCCTGGACACTGATGTCAATGCTAAACACTCATCTAGAGTCCAAGTTTTCCTCACCTCCTTCAAAGTGAGCAGTGGGAGAATGCACTGAAAGCATGGTGCCGGACAGACAGCTCCAGGGAAGTACTTACTTCTTGCAGTGTCCACACCAAGGGGCATAAAACTCAACCATCCACACATCTTCACTGTCAAGGACATTCTTATCAAAGCTGTCGTCTGTCAGCTCAATCACATCCTTCTTACTTGAACTATCACTTCTGCCCTGTAATTTTTGACATTGTCTAATTATAACCTGGCCCAAAAGAACATCATTCCTATTCTAAATAAATATACATGATGACAGCTTTACATTGTAACAGTTTTAGAGTTGTTATTCAAATTGGGGGTATTCCTTATTATTAGTTTTGCTTGGTAAAGTCTTCATTTTCAAATAATTATGAATACATTCAGTGTAACGTGTAATCTGTACTCAAACTCTTTCACCTGCTGTATTTTTATAAAGACAAACCTCAAGATGGTCCACATAACCACAAGAACACTGTTCTTGCTCAGACTTAAGCATAGTTGCCGCTTTGGCCCAGGACATTCTACATGACTAAAATTCACTACATTTCATATGTAAAGTTACTATCATTCAAGAAAGCTAAAAAGAACATTTTCCTTTCTTTTTTCTTGGTGGTCCTAGGAAAGGAACCCATGACTTCATACAGATGAGGCAGGTACTATACCATTAAGCCACACTGCCAGACCTCCTGTTTCTTTCTTTCTTTTTTCCCTTCCAAGAATTTTTTTTGGCACTTAACTTAAGCAGCAGCCAGCAACGCTGTTATTTTCTGTTGCCAGGCTACTGTGCTCCTTAAACGTCTAAGTCTGAAATAAAAGGCAAGATCTTAGAATCTTTGAGTAGTTCTCAATCTGTATAAAGAAGCTAGTTTTATTGGTCTTCTAAATGGAAAGCTTCATATTTCATACAAGGGCATCTAAAACAATAATCTCTAAAACAAGAATGTCTTAGTTCTTCCTCTTCTTTCCAATTCTTTCATGTAGACTTTTCCATGGATTTCAGGTGGAATGCCACAGATACTGGTCAAGAACTCACACAGATTTCATTGTGTTTGCCCACAGGCAATCTGGAGAGGAGCTGGTATCCCTTTCCCCCCTGAATGGTGACAGCCAGGAGATTCCAGAGTCGGCTCCCTTGGCTTAAAGCTTATTCTTCCTCTGCAGTCCAAATTCTCCCATTTCATCCCTGGGCCTATGATACCATCATGGGACCTCATTCTTAGTGACTGGATTTATGGCAAGACTGGTGATGTTAAGGAGTCCAAATGAGCAGTCTGGTGGATGGCTCCCTCCAAGATCAGCTGACCCAATCCCCTATTATATATTTTTTGGGGAATACCAAGGATTGAACTCAGGGGCACTCGACCACTGAGGTAGACCCCTAGCCCTATTTTGTATTTTATTTAGAGACAGGGTCTCACTGAATTGCTTACTTTTACTGAGGCTGGCTTTCAATTCACCTGCCTAAGCACAGCCTTCCGAGCCACTGGGATTACAGGAGATTGCCACTGTGCCTAGCTCCCTATTATTTTTTAGTGGACAGTTCTCTGATTTTAAAATATTAGGGGAGAAAAATCTACCTTCTACAAGAAGTCCACACTGAGGCTACAGAATCATGACACATATTAAAAACTGACATTATGCAGTCTTACTTGTTTTCCAGAACTATATCCACCACTCTTTCCCCCGAGGCGATCCTTCACAAGCTGGCGCAGAGCACTGAGGGCAGCATCCACAATGGCTTCACCAGTTCTGCCACCTGCAGGACAGCAAAGGAGAGTCAGGCAATCCTCAGCCCAGCCTCCTGGAAGTGTCTCTCAATCACTGTCTCAAGACCTCCACCTGATGGCAAAAGGCTCAAACTACACAAGTATTTATGCCAAACCTTTCTCCCAGAACACGCTCAGCACCGACTACACTTCAGACTTGGAAAGCCAATTTTTCATCCTTCGCTTTAGGCTATTAATGTATACAAGAAGTCCGTTTGGTCACTTGTAACTACCGTCTACAAATGTCTACTGAACAACTAATGTGTACACAGATAAATAAGAAATGTAATCTAGTTAGGAAAGCAGGAAAATTGCCAGATAGAGAAAAAACTATTCTATAAAAGTGTGGAAAAGGTAAGACATAAGGTGCCTTTGAAACCAAGTAACTAGAGTCCTCTTTTTTCCCCATCTGCTTAAAAGCCAGCTGTTGTGTTACACTTACTATAAGAACTAAAGACCACTGTTAAAACTCAATGAGACAAAATAACAATAGCTCTTAGAAGTTTGCCCAGAACTATGTGCTCAGGAGTGAAGGGCTATTAACTGGCCCAGAAGGGTAGAGATTACAAACGCTTTGAGACCATCTTCAGAGCTCAAAGGCCTGAAGCTCTAATATAATCTCTTCATAAAGTTTCTTTTTTTCCTTTTCTTTAGCATTCTAATCAAACTGCCCAGGAAGAGATAAAAACATGTGAGAACACCTCAGAACTCACATCAGAAAGAAAATACAGTACAGTAGCCACTTATCCACATCTTTACTTTCAATGGCTTCAGTTAACTGTGATCAAATAGTAGGAAAATATTTGTCTTGCCTCTTTCAAGTGGGGAGACCTCATTTACGTAAGTTTTACTACTGTATATTGTAACTGCTTTATTCTATTATTGGTGATTATTGTTAAATGCTCACTGTGCCTAATTTATAAATCAAGGCACGAATGTGTAGGAAAACCCAGTATGCTCTATGGTTGCAGGCATCCACTGGGTGTCTTGGAATGTACCCCTTGCAAATAGAGGGAGGAAAAGGGACCACCTACATTGACACTCCAGAGGCTTAGGTAGTGTAGTGCTCGCTGGGTTGCAGCTACCTAGTCGGTTCCTTCATACCTTCATAAAGAAGGGCTAGACTCACCACAACCACAGCCTTCCACCCCTCACCTACTTCAGACAGCTCCACCACCTGAACCAGGGCCCCTTCCCCAATCCTTCATCTGGAATATGCCAAATCCCAGAACTGGACTAAGGAAAGGGAGGTGTTCTCCACAATAGGTGAGCAGCTGCAGATTCTCTAAGGGGCCAGACATAAGTATCTTCACCACAACCCCTCGGTCCTGCTGTAAAAGCAGCCATGAATAATATATAAAGAACAGCAGTGTGTTATGAAAAATCTTATTTAGAAAAATAGCAGCAAGTAGAATGCTCTAAACATTTTATTCAAAATAGCCAAACTTAACAAATTATTATTCCAAAACATATGCTTATTATTCAGAAATATGAAACTGATCATTTTATTGAGATTTGGAGCTGAAGAGTCTAGAAGAAATCCTGTGTCTAAGACCTTATCTCCAAGGATTCTAACCTTCAGATTGGAGATGTACCAACTACACTGATATCCACCAGCTATTTGTCTCCTATGCTTTTTATGTACTACTTCAATCAAACTTCTCACAGCTTAAAATAGGATTTTCATTTTACAGATAAGGAGCAAGCTCAAAGGGAGTAAGTCCTATTTAGCTTCAGGCCCAAGTGTGGCAAGGCCAGCAGTCATGCAAGGCAGGGCTAAGCCTTCTGAGCTAGTACTCTCAGATTCTGCATGCCTGGCCTCCCTGTTCTGCTAGGTGGACAGCAGGGATCACAATGACTCTGTGTTTTACTGTGATGCTGGCTCTCCTACTCAGCTCCACAGGCACATTATGCTCACACAAAGTAAAACTATGGTAGCAGACAAGCTTAGCCACTTTATGTCCCATGTAAGCAAATCTTTGAAAGGATTTTTAAATCAAATCAGCCACAATTTAAGCTTTAAATACATTATGTCCAATACTTTCATTAAAACCACGAACCTGGGACCAACCTAATAATTCTGATGATCTTAAATATAATAATCTGTGATCTTCTTTCTTTCTTTCAATGGTACTGGAGATGTATCACAGAGCCGTGTACATGCTGTGACCACTCTACCACATCAGGTGTCCTCCAAAGCTCATGTTTGAGACAATGCAAGAAGGTTTAGGGAGAAATGATTGGGTTATGAGAACCTTAACCCAATTTTGGTGAATTAATCTCCTGGTGGGATTAACTGAGTGGTGGCTGAAAGCAGATAGGGTGTGGCTGGAGTCAGTATGTCACTGGGGACGTGCCTTTGGGGTATATACTTTGTATCAGGTGAGGGGAGCTTCTCTGCTTCCTGATATCATGTAAGCAGCTTCCCTCCACCACCCTCTTCCCCCATAATGTTCTGCCTCATCTTGAGCCCTGAGGAATGGAGCCTACCATCTATGGGTTGAGATCTCTGAAACCAGGAGCCCCTAAATAAACTCTTCCTCCTCTAAAATTTGTTCTTTTTAGATCTTTTTATCATAATAGAAAAAAACCAACAAAACCAACAACCAACTGAATAAAACACATAATTTAAAAGCTTACCTGCATGACACTTTAAATGTTCAGAACCCCCACAGAGGGGGTAGGAATCTCTCTACACCATTTATAGATAAGAAAACTTGGGAACAAAGAGGTTGAGAAACTTGTGGTAGCAGGGCTGACAAGTTGTAGAATCCCAGGTTCTCACTTACAGGGGAATGGAGTAGTGAGAAAAGGTATTTACCCTGATAATCTTCTGGTCTGTTTTTGTTGGATCCAAAAATCTTGATGGTAGGAAATCCTTGAACGCCATACTGTCCTCCTAGGGACTGATGTTTATCTGCATCAACTGCACCAACTTTTACAACATCCTGTGGAAACAGAAAAGAACTAATCTGTTTTTCTTTCAACTAGAGCATCATCTGACTCACACACACAGGTAAAGGGCTGGTTGAGGCTGACAAATACGGTCACTGAGTGTTGTAGCACTGAACACCAGACGAGAGACCTAAATGGCAGGAAGGACGAATCCAAGCCCAGCTCAGGGAGGTAACTCTGTAGCCCCCAGAATTAGTCTGGCCAGCATTAATGATATGCATTACCTGGGAAACAGAATGAACACAGACATAAAAACTAAAATGTGTGTTTCTACACCCCCCACACGTGATTCTGGCAGCAGAACCAGTGTTTTAAACTCTGATGTGAAAATCAGCTTCCTATTGTGCATTAAACTTATCTGTACACCTAGACACACACAGGTGAGCGTGGGCATCTCAGAAATTTATTTATTTATTTTTTTGGTACTAGCAATTGAAACCAGGGGTTCCTAACCACTGAGCTACATCCCAAGTCCTTTTTTTATTTTAAGACAGGGTCTTGCTAAGTTGCTTAGGTCCTTGCTAAGTTAGTGAGACGGGCTTTGAACTTGTGATCCTCCTCTCAGCCTTCTGAGTTGCTGGGATTACAGACATGTGCCACCATGCCTGGCTTGAAACTTACTTTTAATGCAGTTGCTGCTTTCTTCCATTCTGGTGTCAATCTTTGGCAATGACCACACCTTTAGGGTGAAAACACAAATAGGGTGACAGTTAAAGTCTTTGATCTATAATTCATACAACATCCATCACTCAGGGTGGGAGCTGGAGAGGAGGACTAGCACTAATAAAACAGAATCAGTGATGGTCACAAGTAATGAAATGTCTTATAATTCACTAAAGAACATTTTAATACTTATGATATCATTTTTCATATCATCCTAATAAAAGAGATCCAATAAATCAGGAATTTAAATAAAGCCACTCATCTTACACCTCTTAAAGCTTGACACTCCCTGATCCAATCCTCCTCATTTATTTATTTTTGTGGTACTCAGGGTTGAACCCAGAGGCACGATCTATCACTGAGCAGCATTCCCAATCTTTTTCACTTTTCATTTTGCAACAAGACCTCACTAAGTTGCTGAGGCTGGCCTTGAACTTGTGATCATTCTGTCTCAGGTCCCAAATAGTTGGAATTATAGGCAGATATCATTATATCCAGTTAGATATCACATTCTTAATCACTACACAGTATAACTTTACAGGGGCCTAATCTCAGCCCTAATATTTGAAATATATTTGAAATGCTGCTTTTACATATTTATATACAGTATGTTTTGTTGCTCAGATGAGATATTCAGAATATAGAAGTCAAATTTTCACAGGGCTTAGACTTCAGATTATATAAGAAAAGAGGACTCAAACCAGAAACTATCAGAGCAAATACCTCTTCAATTTAAATGTTAGGCAATATGCAGACAAATCAATGCACTATATAAATAAATATCTATTTTTTACTAACCTGTAAGTGAAACTGAGTATTTCCTTCAATTGTGAATGTAAATATCATTCCAAAGCCAATGAGTACTATGACTCTGTCACTAATAAAAACCACAGCTCAGATTTACTGTCCTAGTAAAGAAGTACAGGTTGAGCATCTCTAATCCCCAATTTCAAAATCCCAAAACCTAAAAACTTTTGAGCACTGACACAAACTCCAAAATTTTAGATTTATGGATTAGGGAAGCTCAACTAGTAAAATCTAAACAAATATTCTAAAACCTGAAAAACTCCAAGATTTCAAATACTTCTGGTTTTGGGCTGGGGATGTGGCTCAAGCGGCAGTGCGCTCGCCTGGCATGCGTGCGGCCCGGGTTCGATCCTCAGCACCACATACAGACAAAGATGTTGCGTCTGCCAAATACTAAAAAGTAAATATTAAAAAAAAAAATTCTCTCTCTCAAATACTTCTGGTTTCAAGCATTTTGGATAAGGGATTCTCTATCTGTACTACATTACCATGTCAAGATTTATTTCAATATTCTGAGAACCATGTTTCAACATTTTAGTTTTCCTTTGCAATCCCATAGGATACACATGTAAAGTCTTTATTTTATGAAGGAATCCTTTGGAATCCTTCACCAGTCTGCCAAAGAAGTCCAAACACCAAACTGCTCTAATTAGACATTTTTCGTATTTAGAACAGTACGCGGTAAAACTTCATCAGTGTAATATCAATAATAATCCACCAGATTCAGATTCTGCCTTCTCAAGTGCAACTTTATTATTTTTTGTGGTGCTAGGCAAGCACTCTACCACTGGGCTACACCTACAACCCCAACTCCTGCCTTCTCAATTAGGCTGTCTGGTATAATTTTATAATAATGTTCTCTTGTATTGCAGTTATCAGAAACAAAATAAACTACCCATGACACAAATGATTAAAAAGTTGAACTTGCAAAAATTACATAGAAGTTTTAAACAACATAGCAGTTTATACAATTACTATTTATACAAGATAACCATATTGAAATTAGCATTTATATTTAACAAACAAAAAGAAAGAAGCCTTTAAAATATAGCAAAGGCAGGCCAGACATGATGGCACAAGCCTGTAATCCCAGCAGCTTGGAGGCTAAGGCAGGAGGACTGTGGGTTCAAAGCCAGCTTCAACAACTTAGCAAGGCCCTAAGCAACTCAGTGAGACCCTGTCTCTAAATAAAATACAAAAAAAAAAAGAGCTGGGGATGTAGCTCAGTGGTTAAGTGCTCCTGAATGTAATCCCTGGTACCTAAATAAATAAAATAAGGCATTAAGACAAATATAATTCACAATATGGCAGCAAAATTTTATCTCAATTTGCTACACTGAACCATCAGTAAAGTACTTCATGAGAATCAGTGTTGAGCTTCCCAAACTCAGTTTCATGGTCTACCAAAGGAAAAAAATTAAAGTAATACAGAAAAAAACTTTTCATCAAGTTATGAGAATTTGATAGTAATAATTTCCTTTGCTATGCCTTCCTCAAGCTTCAAGGCACTGTTCACATTTGTGAAGGTCCCTCTGGGCGTCAGCTCACTGTACAGTTCATCTTCACAGACATGCAGTGGCAGGGCTTGCGTCTCCCCCTCGTGTGGCCTGCTGCTTTACAGCAGCGATTGTCTCATGCATATTTTGCAGTTTTCATTGATCTGCCTCTATTCTTTTTTTTTGGCATTAAACACATAAACAATACCATTGGTGCAATATTGTATTCTGACCACATACAATTATGTACCATTTGTTCAACAATAATTATATCATCACAGGGCTTTTCCAGTAATGAATATAAGGCAAGAAAGATTTTTTTTTTTTTTTAAAGAGAGAGAGAGAGAGAGAAGAGAGAGAATTTTAATATTTATTTTTTAGTTTTTGGCGGACACAACATCTTTGTTTGTATGTGGTGCTGAGGATCGAACCCGGGCCGCACGCATGCCAGGCGAGCGCATTACCACTTGAGCCACATCCCCAGCCCAAGAAAGAATTTTTAAATTAAACCAGATTTTCTAATTACATATTCAGAAAACAATCTTCTTCAAGAGACAAAAAGGAATCCATCACTTATTTTTCCCTTTGCTCAAGATTCTTTCTTCATAAAATTAGTTTCCCTTCCACCCTTATCTTACTAGCTTCCTTATAAGGACAGATTTTCTTTAAATTAAGAATTTTTCCTTTCTTATTTTTTATAACGATTATCTACTCAACCTCCCCACCCATTTTTTTTTTAACTGACTCAACTCTAGGGCCTTTAACAGACTCAACATTGCAGTCTCCCTTTTCCCTCTCTTCTTCTTTTAAGCAAGCAATAATTTATATAAACTAGACGTCAGAATAAAACCAGGCACTTATACAGAATTTTTACCAATGTGTAAAGCACCGTAAATAACACCACTTTGTTGCACTTACCATGGAGCATAGAATTCTACAAGCCACAAACTGTTACTCTGAATAACTTCTCTGTTGAAATTAGATGGAGTTAATTCAATGACATCGTCGCTGGAGGAATACAGACCATTCACTGCTAGAAAGAAGGTACAGCTCACCAGACCTAGAATAAAGACAAAAGCACACCAATGGGGCACGGTTCACAGCCACCAGAGACCTCTCCAACCCACCCAGGCCCTTCTCACAGAATATGGCCTGGGCTCAACACTGCCCTCTGCCCTCCCTACTGTCACTGGAGTCTCTGGACTTCACTCCCATGGGTTGCGCTGAGAAAGAAGTGAAAGGAGAGTCTCCATTCACATTTCTTGAACTTCAATGGAAAAAACTTTAAGCACCATTTTTAGTGCACTCCACAAATTAACTTTCATTCCTTTACAACCATCCTATGACTATTGTTACCACTCTATGGGCATGGACCTACATTAGGAAATCACCTCTAGCTGCATGATCTTGCATAATCCACACAGCATTTATCCCTCATGTTATTCACCTGCAGTATTAGCACCCTACTTTTTAAATTTTTTGAAGTGAAAAAGAATCATCTCTCCCACTAATGACTGTGGGGTGCTTAGCCAGTGAGCCACATCTCTGGTCCTTTTTATTTTTTGAGACAAGGGCTCACTAAGTTGCTAAGGCTGGCTTTGAACTTGTGACCCTCTTGCCTTAGCCTCCCAAGCCAGTGGAATTATACGCATGCGTCACTGCGCCTACTGCAAATATTTTTGTCTCTACTTTTTCAGAAAAATGTTTAGCACTCTTGAATGAGCTTAGCATTTTCATGTGAAAGATGTAAAAGGGAGAATATTGGTTTCTTATTAATAGCATAGTTTAGCAACAGTGTGGATCAAGTATATTTTTGTTGGCTACTCTGGGAGCTGAAATGCAATTTTTAACAATTATACAGGAAAACATTCTGAACTGACTTACTAATATATTAAGAACTTTAGTTTTTGAACTGGCAATACTAAAGTTTCACCACCATTTAAGTTTTGTTGATTGTTCTTCTTCTTCTGTGAAGTGTCTGTTCAGTTCCTTAGCCCATTGATTTTTTTGTGTGTGTGTTAAGTTCTTTATATAATATCCTAGAGATTAATGCTTTATCAGAGGTGAAAGTGGTGAAAATTTTTCCCAATCTGTAGGATCTCTCCTCACTTTATTGTTTCCTTTGCTGTGAAAAAGCTTTTTAATTTGAATCTGTCCCATTTATTAACTCTTGATTTTACTTCTTGCATTTAGGAGTCTTGTTAGGCTGACGTGGTGCAGATTTGGGCCTATTTTTCCTTTTTAGGTGCAGGGTCTCTGTTCTAGTGCCTGAATCTTTGATCCACTTTGAGTTGATTTTTGTGCAGGGTGAGAGATAGAGGATTAATTTCATTTTGCTACATATGGATTTCCAGATTGGCCAGTACCATTTGTTGAAGAGGCTATCTTTTCCCCAGTGAATGTTTTTGGCACCTTTGTCTAGTATGATAACCATATTTATGTGGGTTTGTCTCTGTGTCCTCTATTCTGTACCAATACAGGCAACAATAAATGTTGGCAAGGATATGGTGAAAAAAGCTCACTCATACATTGCTGGTAGGACTGCAAATTGGTGCAATCACTATGAAAAGCAGTATGGAGATTCCTCAGAAATTGGGAATGGAATCACCATTAGACTATCCCACTTCTTGACTTATACCCATAGGACTTAAAATCAGCATACTATAGTGACACAGCCATATCAATGTTTATAGCAGCTCAATTCACAACAGCTAGACTATGAAACCAACCTAGGTGTCCCTCAATATGAATGGATAAAGAAATACTCAATGGAATATTACTAGGCTTTAAAGAAGAGTAAAATTATGGCATTTGCCAGTAAATGGTTGGAGTTAAGAGAATACCATGCTAACCAAAATAGGCCAATTCCACAAAACCAAAGGCCAAATGTTTTCTCTAATATGTGGATGCTAATTCACAATAAGGCATGGGGGGGTGGGGGACAGGACTACAGAAGAGTAGCGTTACCTTAGATTAGGTAGAGGGAAATGATGGGAGGGGAGGGGAGGGGATGTGGGGATAGGAAAGATAGTAGAATGAAACAGACATTATTACTATATGTCTATATGTGACTGCATGACCAATATGAATCTGCAACATGTGCACTCAGAAAAATGAGAAATTATATCCTATCTATGTATGATATATCAAAGTGCATAAGTGCATTCTACTGTCATGTATAACTAATTAAAACAAATAGAAAAATTTAACAAAAACGTCTATTCCCATCTTTTCAGCATGTGTGAAGATCATCATTTCTTTCTTTCTTTTACTCTGTTGACTCAGCATATTAAGTGATACTGGCCTGTAGTTTGAAGTAGTGTGGTTATGGCATCTCAGTCATGTTTTCATATGCTTACTTCCTAACAGAAATTGGAAGATTTCAAATAGAACTTTTCAGAATCCCAATGGTTAATGTCTTCTGGAAGAAGTATATACTAGTGTTGATTTTCATGTGGCTAAATCCTCCATACAGTACTTTCAACTTCCACATCACTTCACATATATTAAAACACTTGATTTTTTCACAGCATTACTACTAGAAAGCAGGAATTATGCTCATTTTGCAAATAAACAGAGAGGAAGAGGAGAATGCCCACCTGGGGTCATGCAACATAGTAAGTGGCAAAACAGCTCTCGGACTCCAATTTCCAAGTTTTCCCATTAAACCATGCTGTCTTTTTGTGCTCAAGATAAAATAGTTTAGTAGGCCTGGGCATGAATAACAATTATATTATTCAAGAATATTGTATTTGAATGATACAGTTAATGCTGTAAGAACTTATGAAATAAAACTGCAGACTTTACTCATCAAAAGCCATAGCCCCTAAACCAAGAGAAATACAGAGTGGGCAACAGTAATGAATGCTACCTGGAGATAACACAGGAAGACAGAAAGGGCCAACTGGGTTTAATGACAACCAAGTCAGGGGCACCTGCAGGTGTGAGGGAGTAGTGAAAATCAGCAGCCAGTCCACAGAGGACTGGAGAGAGTAGGAGGGAATGAGTTGGAAAGAAAAATATAGATGATCTTGAAACATTTCATTACAATGAGCAGGGGAGAGCAAGCAAGTGTGGGGTAAAAGGAGGGTTTCTTTTTAAAGATGGAAGTGATTTGAGCATGAAAGGAAAAAAATGTTAAGTGGGGAGGCTTAAGAGGGAACACCTGAACATTCAGGGGGAGACAGGGAACCCCGTCAGTGATGGAGGAGACTTTCACAGGATGACTTTCTCACCTATTTTAAGAGGTGGGCAAGGTTGAGGGTGTTTGGAGATCAAATCAACCAGTGAGATTCCCTCAAAGACTGTGCTATCCAAAATGGTACCATTAGCCACACATGGCTACCCCACACGGAGATGTGTTCTAAGTGTAAAAATAGCACACTACATTTCAAAGACTTGGCGGGGGAAAAATACTGGGTAAATAAAAGTATGTGTTGCTTAATGACTGGATGCTTTCTGAGAAACACATCATTTATTTATTTTTTCTGGTGCTGGGGACCGAACCCAGGGACTTGTACATCCTAGGCAAGTGCTCTACTACTGAGCTACATCCCTAGCCCTTTTCTAAATTTTATTTTGAAACAATTACATAGGAAATAAGTTGCTATATTGCCCAGACTGGCCTCAAACTTATGACCCCCCTGCCTGGGTCTCCAGAGTAGCTGGAATGTGCCACCATACTAAAATGTGTCACCATTGTGCAAATATCACAGAACAAATTTATACAAGCTACAATAGCTAGGACTTCATTAGGTGGTGTAACCCCATGGGACCACCACCCTTGATGTGATCCATCACTAACTGAAGCATCCTTATGTGGCACATGCCTGCATGAAAACTAATTTACCTGTTTTGTTTCCTCTTTCAAAAAAAAAAAAAAAAAAGTGGCTACAAGAAAACTTAAAATTGGATTACATACAAAGTTTATGTTATATTTCTATGAAGTGCTACTTAGCAATCTTTGTGCCAGGTATAGTGGTGAATACCTGTAATCCCAGTGATTGGAGGCTGAGGCAGGAGAATCCCAAGTTCCAGAACAGCCTCAGTAACTTAGGGAGATCCTGTCTCAAAATAAAAAATAAAAAGGGGTGGGATGTAGCTCAGTGATGAAGCACCACTGAGTTCAATACCTAGTTCCAAATAATCTCCTTTGTTTACAAAAAAGTTTTAGTAGAATTTGATGTATTTACAAAGCAAGTAAATCAAGCAGAGAGAGTTCTAACTCTAAATAAGGGTAAAATGAAGACTGGCCCTGGCTAATTCCCCATGGAATTCTACTCCATAATTATGGACTACACATGCAACTACAGTGGTATAACCATGCTGCCTCTATCTACTACTGTAAGTTTTCACTATTAGTAGCTCAGCGCTGAAAACTGTTAAACTCCCCACCCCCCAAAATATTACTGTTTCCTTAAGAGGAATTTTTGCAAGGGAGATCAGTAAGTATGGCTAACATTTTGAGAGCTGACCAACTACCTACCAGCCAGAAACTAGGTTCTTTACCTTTTTTATGAGACAAAAATAGCAATAACATTTATATTGTTGTATACCAGCAATGCTGTCAACATTTTACTTATATTAATTCAGTGAAGAACTCTATGTGGTGTGTACCATACTGTCCATTTTGTAGATTGGTAAACGGAGACATAGAAAGTATAACTTGCTGCAGTCACATAATTAGAATGAGATAGAACAGGGGTAAGCAACCCAAATTTCTCTGGACCAAAGGACCTGAGAATGTAGTGGTGTTTTCCCCTGGAGCATCACTAGGTAGACCACAGCAGGAGAAATACCTTATTCCACTTCTCATGGCAATCAGGGACAGCCATAAGCAACCTACTCTCCTCTGCAGGCTGGAGTCACCAAAGGCATGTGGGATTTTTTTTCAACACAAAGACAATCAAACTACTGACACTCAGCATAATATGGTCTTGGATTATTTTTTTCCTTGGTAATGGTGATGGAGTTTTGTTTGCCTTTAAATTTTAAGTTTCCCCTCTATACATGGCTATCCAATGGTAAAAGGTCGAGGCCTAAGCTACTTAAAAGGACACGTACTACTTAACCTGATGGGGTTACAAAGAAGTCAAACATATTACGGTGAACACGTAAAAACTCACAGCATAAAAGTAGCCAATAACTGCTCCCCTCCAGTCCTCCCTAAAAACAAAAATACTGAGCTCATTTAAGATGACAAAGTAGTTCAGTGATGCTGTTTCTAAAATTCACATGGCCAATCAACTCAGTGATAATGCACAGCATCGGAGATCGAAAAGTGTGAGTGTGGAGAATCTGTGAGCGGATGGCTCTGCAGCCGAGGCCTCCCACTCCTCCCCAGCACTCAGGGCGGTACAAATTCACACCAGGACCAGGACCGTCAGGGCGCCTGGGCGGCGACCGGGACCCTCGACTTCGCGCCCGGTCGAGGCTAAAACGGACCTTTACATAATTCCGGAGCCTGGGCTCCGCCGCGCGGCTCAGAGGTCCAACCCCCTGAAAGCGCTCCTGCGTCGTCAGCTCCGCTCCCCGCGCACGGCAGCCGCGCGGACCTCGGCTTCAGAACCGCGAGCCGCGCGGGAGGTGGCACGACCGCACACACGGGGCTCCGCACGCTCGGGCCGGAGCGGAGGCCGCAGCGGGAGCCGGCCTCGCCGCGAGGCCCCGGCCCCGACGCCCCGGCGCTGCTCCGCTTCCCCCTCGCGGCCCCCGGCCCGCAGGCGCCTCGCCCGCCCTCCCGGCCCCGCGCCCGCCACCCCGGAGCCAGGCCGCGTGCGCGAGGCGGGGCGGGTCTCCGCACGCCAGGCGCGCTCCCGGCCGCAGCCCGCCGAGGGGGCGCGCGGCCCTGCAGGTCGAGTCCCCGGCCCGCGCCTACCGAGCCCCAGGCGAGCCATGCCGAGCACCGGTCAGTCCGTCCGCGCCGCCACCGCCTCAGCTCTGCCGCCGCGCCCCCGCGATCGCGTCCCGCCCTCGGCCGCTCTGGCTGCGGCGGGACGGCCGGCGGGGGCGGGCCGGAAGGGCTCGCCGCGCGTGGCCGCGGCTCATTGGCCCCGGCGGACTTCGCTCACTCGCTTGACCAATGGGAAGCGGCCGGGTAGAGGGCACCGGTTCGGTTTTTTTTCAAGGGGGCGGTGACGGACGATAGGGGGCGGGACCGACGGGGCGGTGACGAACGACGGGGGCGGGGCGGGGCGGGGCCAGCCGGACTCCGAGGCCGCCTCACTCCTGCCTGAGCTGTGGGTGCCTTGAGTCCGGCGCTGGGGGTTTCTTCTCTCAGTTCTTCGTTCCTTTCTCCCTTGCCTCTCACGTGACCCTCCCGGTCCTCACGCCTCCTGGTCCTCATCCTGTTTACCACGGGAGAGTAGAACTCGGGGCCTTCGGTGTGTCCCCACCCTTATTAAATAAAGGACAGCAATTCCTCTTGTGCCCACGTATATTAATTAAAGCCGCTTGCTAAGCACGTCCGTGTGCCAGGTGATTCAACACGTCTTTATTTTGTTGAATTACTTTGAGTTCCGATGTCCTCTGCCCACAACTACAAAGCCTTTCCCATGCAGGACCCCAGTCACCCTGGAACCTGGAACCTGCGCTGGAACCGCAGGATTCTTCCCGCGCAGGCTCCCTTCTTGGTCCTGGGGTGGGGGTCGGGACCAGCGCTCACGTGGACAGTTGTTTTGTGAAATGTGCAAAAGTAAAGTATTCTAGACCTAGAAAGTTAAGCGAGACCCCTGGGTCTTTGCGTTCTGATCCCTCCCCTGTGTTTGGGGTGGACACGTGGTCAATTTATTTTTGTATTAGTAGTTTCTCTGTAGTAATTACTGCATAAACGGGCTCTAACTTTGGCCAAAGCTTTCGTTGGCAAAGGCGTCCGGGAGTGGTGATGGCTGGCTGGTGGTCTTCCTGGAGGAAGTGGCCCTACAGTTGCCCCTGGAGTTCTGTCAGCAAACCAGACTCAGCCACACTCAGCCCACTGGAGTCATAGGGAAGCCCAGGTAGTCATCCCAGGGCTCTGTGGAGTCAGAGCACAGGCTGTGGTCTGTGACGACACAGCCAGGCTTCTCTTCTCCACCTGGGTGGCGCTGGAGTGAAAAGCTGCTTATTTTTCCTGACACCCTTCTGTGCTTTACACGTTTCCCCTTGAAATGTGCCCACTCTGCAGGACTGAATGACAGTGAGGCCCTTCTCCTCTCACTTAGAAAGTCGTTCCTTTCCTGACTGCTGTGGGAGTTTAAGTCCTCCCACGTTCAGGGGCCCCCTCCTTTCCCTTTTTTCCAAGTTCATGGCAGTGTCTTAATTGGGCCCCAGGGACCCCCGACATCACAGCTTGCACAACTGCACTGTGGCTATTAGGGCCACAGTCCAGCTCAAAACAGGCCTGCTGATAGAGTGGCCAACGCCCACTCATGCCTTCCCTGACGTCGGTGGTCTCTGTCTCAATCTGCCTAAGAGCTCATTGTCCTGGAGAAACAGAGACACAAGCAAACCTGCTAAATTGTTCCCAGGCATAGGGCCATTCTGGGCTGTGGGATAAATGCAGAGCACCCCTTGGGTGCCTCTGTGAAGCACCCCCTACAGTGTCAGACTTCCAAAAGCGTACCAGGGTGGATGTCATTCATTTCTTTTTTTCATTAAAATAAAGCACATATTAATGGCCTAATTATATCAGGTACTGTCCCAGGCACAGCCACTGGCTCAGGGAGCACACAGCCAGCAGAGGCCAGAGAAGACAAAGGCACATTATACTGCAGCATTCTGACCAAGAGAAGCCTCTGGTACAATGGAGCCCAGAAAAGATAACTTCTGTGTTTGTTTGCTGACCTGGTAAAATATGCATACAAATTGTCATTTTAACCTACCTCCCTTCTTTTTCACAGTGGGTCCAACATTTACTGCATGCACAGAATACAGAGGACGTTTGTGTTTCAAGGTCAGCCTGTGCTGCAGCAGGTGTCAGAATTTCATTCTTTCAGAGGCTGAATACTCTTCCGTTTTATGGTGGACCACGCTTTGCTTCTCCCGTCATCTGCTGATGGACATTTGCGTGGTTCTCACCTTTGGGCTGTTAGTAATGCTGCGTTGAACGTGGGCACCCACGAATCTGAGTCGTCGTTTTCAATGCCTTTGGGCACATATCTAAGAGGGGCACTGTGGGCTCCTGTGGCCATTTCACATTTAACTTTCTGAGGAGCTGTCGGTTTTCCATAGCAGTGGCCCCATTTTATACGCCTCCAGCGACGTGTCCCATGAGCAACACGGTTTCTCCCCAGCCTCGCCCTTGTGAACTTGCCATGTTAGGGATCTTAGCCATCCTAGTGGGTGTGAAGAACAATCTCTGAGTTGAGTCGGGAAGGATTTGTAGAAGCAAACAAAGAATGGGAGGGAGAGAAGCCACCCAGAGAGCCAGTTACAGAGGCAGGAAGTCCCTGAGGGTCCGGGGAACTTGAAGTGGAGTGGAGGATGGGGAGGCCAAGGCTGCAGGACCAGAGAGAGACCAGATGTGGAGGTTCCTGAGGATGTGCCCAAGTGGGGAGCCTGCTGAGAGCAGCAGGGAACCCAGGAGAGGAGCTCAGGGAAGGTTAGGGAGCCCAAGGGGCCTGGGGGCAGATAAGTCTTTGGAGAAATCCCCCAACGCCTTTCTCTCCTGTATGTCTTCAGGCTTGATCTCTCTGAGCTTCAGTCTCCTTGGTTGTAAACAGGGATATGACTGTATTTTGTCACAGCACGGCTGCCTGGTTTCAATGAGACAAGCCGTGAAAAACACTCTGCACGGCACTTGGCCCCTTGAATGTTAGATATTATTATGAAATGAACATCACAGTAAATGCTAACAGAGCATTCATTTGTTTCACAATAAACTAAAAACAGTGTGGCCAACCCAAGGTAGATGTGCAGTGTGAGTGAGAAACACTTTCAGGACTGAACGCTGAGATTAGAGCCCTTGGTTACTGCAGCAAAACCCAGCCCAGCCTGACTCTAGCATCTAAGCTACCGGACTCTGGGCTACTTCTTTGAGCCTGTGTTTTCTTCTGTAGAAAAGGGTGTGTTCACAGCTCCCTGATAGGCTTCGTTCCTTCACTCAGCACAGATCCCCATGGGCACTGTGCCTTGTACCTCACAAACAAGACAAAAGGAAAGGACAAGTAAATATTGACAAGCTGAGATAATTGCCAGGGTAGGCAGAAGAGAGGCCCATCCTCCAACCCTCAGAACTGCTGAGTAGGTGACACTCTAGGGCAGAGGGGAGTGCTGTTGGCTGACAGAAGTAAGGGTTGCCAGTCAGCTGTCCTTAAAACGGAGATGAGCCTGGCTTCTCTGGGTGGCCCATAAAGGGTCCTTAAAACTGGAGGAGCAGGTCGGACAGAGGCAGCAGGGATGTGGCACAAGAAGGACACAGTGCTGGAGATGGAGGGGCCATGAGCCAGGGACTGCAGTGGCCTCTAGCAGCAGGAAAAGCTCAGGAGGCGGTTCCTCCCCTCATCCTCCAGAAGGTGCATAAGCAGCCCGCACCTGGCGCCCAGGAGACCCGTGTTGAAACTTCAGCCTAGGGAACTGCAAGGTGGTAAACTGGCACTGTTCCAACTCACTCCATTTGTGGTCGTTTGTAGCAACAGCCAAAAAATTTACACAAGTAATAATAAGAACAGGAAGTGATAGGAAATCAGGAGCCAGGGAGGAATGAACCTTAGTCAGTATGGTCCGAGGTGTAAGCAGAGCCCTGAGGATGGGAGGCGGAGTAGATCCTGAGAGGTAATAACTTAGCTTCAGGCTGGATGCATAGGAGGCATTAGACGGCTGGTCCCTGTGACTGTGAGTTCTAGACACCTGCTTTAAGAAAACTGTAGCCGCTGAGGAAAAAAAAAGCCACGTACCTTCCTGCCCGCGCCCCCTGCCCACTCTACTTTCCTGCCTGCCCTCCCTGCCCACTCTACCTTCCTGCCTGCCCTGCCTTCCTGTCCACCCTACCTTCCTGCCCGCCCTCCCCACCTGGGAAATCCTTGGCTGAAGTGAGGTAGGCAGGGCCTCCTCAAGGACATCGCCACTTCCTTCCTCAAGGACATGTAAGCAAATGTAACAAACATGGGGTACTCATTCCAATCCAGCCCTCTTGCCTTCCTCTCCTCTGCCAGAAATGAGCTCTCCAATTTACTTGTCAACACCCCCCATGTGAGAAAAACTCTGGGGAGAGTGCACACAAAGTCATAACATTATGTATCATCACCGTTAGTGACGATATGAAGTGCGGTGGGATTTCCATTGGTCAGCGCGGAAAGAAGCAAAAAAGGTTTGCCAGGTCGTCCTTCCCCTACTTTAATCCCCTGGTTTATTCTTTTCTCATTGGTCATCAAAGGCAAGAATAGGAAGAAAATATTGTGGTTGTCCTCTGTCTTTTCCAGGAACAATGTCCTAGAACTGCTGTTTGGTGGCCTACTTTATAGCCAAGGCCAAGGGGATTTTCTGAAGTTGTCTCCAATCCTGGTCACTTGACCCTGGCCCATTCTTATTTCCTGGGCATCCAAAGAAACATATTGTCTTAGACCCTAAGGAACTTTGGTCATATATAGGATGTGTTAATCTTCTGTCCTTAAAACTGACTGTGGAGTGAAGACAGTGAGTGGCTGTGTCCCCCTCAGGTGCCTCCTCCAGATTCACCAGTGCTATCCACTTCCACGTCTTTGTTCATAAGCCCACCACTGCCCAGGAGGCTCGTCCACATCAGACTCCCCTTATGAATGACTTTACACTGATCCCACAGAACTTCCATGTGGACCTTGATTGCAGTTGTTAATTGACCTGCTCCCACTTTAGAGTGTGAGCTCCTAGGGGCCAACTATGTCTTATGATTGTCCCTGAAGACCCAGGATCCAGCACAGGACCTGAAATCAATGGGTTTTCAGTCAAATGAAGGCAGGAAAGCGGAATGTGTGAATGAGTGGCCACGGTGGGCCCTTCTTCATTTGCACCT